AAGATTAGGGATTTCCCTGGTGGCTCAGATGGTAAAAGCGTCTGCCTACAATGTGGGAGACCCAGGTTCGATTCCTGGGTTGGGAAGATCCTCTGGAGAAGGAAATGGCAATCCACTCCAGTACTCTTGCCTGGAAAATCCCATGGACGGAGGAGCCTGGTGGACTGCAGTCCATGGGGTCGCAAAGAGTCGGACACGACTGAGCGACTTCACTCACTTCACTTTTTAAAGGAATTTCTTTGCTTCCCTATTTTACTCTTCCTACATGACGTAGCAGTCCACTGACTAACAGTCTAACCAAGGTGGAGGCCAGTGCCATCCCCGTGGCACGTGCCAAAGCAGGAACTGCTCGCACCAAAAGTTTGGCATCTGAACATGAGCTGGGTTTATTGAAATCATAGGGGACACTTAGTTAACTGTCTAGATTCTCTTTGCAAGTGAAACCTGAAAGCAGAACTCAACATAACTGAGACTCCATCCCGAATCCAGGGTGAGCAGGCGTGCCCCTCCCTGCCGCCGCCTCCCTCCTCCAGAGCCAGCTTCTCCTCCCTATCCCGTGACTGGGCACCCTTATGCCTTTTTTCCTCCGCTGCCCTCAGCTGCTCACAGGAGACAGCCCAGAACTGAAGAATTGCAGGTCTGTGGCCAAGTACAGCTGGTTCCCGGTGTTCAGAGCAGCAGAGGATTTCAGAAGAACACAGAGAGAGGTTACGGAGAGCAGGGAGCTCTCAGCCCCGGGATGATTAACGACAGCATCGTGCAGTTACGGTGCTGTCTCCACCACACTTCCTGTGCTTGGCCCCCGGGGCCAGCCCTTCACCCTCTCTGGCCCACGCCCCGTGTCCCAGGCCCTCTCCAGCTGCCCCCGTCTGCTTTCCGGCCACCTCCTCAGCCCTGGGAGCCCTGCAGTCCGGTCGGAGCACGGGAGCCCAGAGAGCTCACAGGAAGGAGATGAGAAGCCAGGACCGACCCGGCCAGGACTTCAGATGGATGTCCCCCTGAGCCCTCGGGGACCTCAGCCCTCGGCCTCCAGCTTTGATACCCAAACACATGAGACAACAAACAGCTTTGACTAGATTTGCCCTCCGTAACTCCCACCGCTCCCCAACACCCACTAGGGAATAACAAACAGAAACTGTCTTTTGTCCAAGGCCCCCGAGGTCCTGGTGGCCCTGCGCAGTGGCCACTGTCGCGGGCTAAGGGCACGGCTCTGTGAAGACCCTGACCGTGACAGCCAGGCAGGAAGGGGGCTGGATGTGACACCGTGGCCGTCAGGCTTCTCAAGGGCAGTGGGAGGGCCGAAGGCAAAGCCTGGGACCCTTCTGGGAGCTCAGAGATGCAGTGGCGGGTCCTTCAGAGTCAGCTGGGCCGGCTGCTGTGGGGGTCAGGCCCCGGCGCCCTGACTGGGTGGCCCTCCTGATCACAGGAGGGCCTCCTCATGCCTCCTCACCCTCCCAGTGACTCCACACTCTACTTAGCGCCTCGAAATACTAATTAGCTCGCTAAGGAGGCAGAGCGCCGAAGAACTGATGCCTTTGAACTGTGGTGTTGGAGAAGACTCTTGACAGTCCCTTGGACTGTAAGGAGATCCAACCAGTCCATCCTAAAGGAGATCAGTCCTGAATATTCATTGGCAGGACTGATGCTGAAGCTGAAGCGCCAATCCTTTGGCCACCTGATATGAAGAGCTGACTCATTTGAAAAGACCCTCATGCTGGGAAAGATTGAAGGAAGGAGGAGAAGGGGACGACAGAGGATGAGATGGTTGGATGGCATCATCGACTCAATGGAGATGAGTTTGAGCAAACTCTGGGAGTTGGGAGATGGACGGGGAGGCCTGGCGTGCTGCGGTTCACGGGGTCGTGAAGAGTCAGACATGGCTGAGCGACTGAAATGAAGGAGGCAGATCCTGTCCCCTGGAGGAGGAAATGGCTATCCACTCTGTATTCTTGCCTGGAGAATCCCATGGACAGAGGAGCCTAGCAGGCTCCAGTCCACGGGGTCTCAAAGAGTCAGACCCAAACTGAACGACTAACACTGCAACTACTACTACTAAGAGGCATATTCTGTGGTCTGTAGTCGAGCCCTCATTGACATGTTCTTCTTGGCAGAGAACTTCTGGACCCTCCAAAGCTCCAGAAGTTACAAAATTCCAAAGTTCTGTCATCTCCCAACACCCTGTCTTGGTGGCTCATGAGACTCATTTGAATTTGCTGCCAGATCCTCTGGAGAAGGGATCGACTACCCACTCCAGCGTTCTTGGGCTTTCCTGTGGCTCAACTGGTAAAGAATCTGTCTGCAATGCAGGAGACCTGGGTTTGATCCCTGGGTTGGGAAGATCCCCTGGAGAAGGGAGCAGCTATCCACTCCAGTATTCTGGACTGGAGAATTCCACGGACTGTATAGTCCATGGGGTCACAAAGAGTCAAACATGACTTTCACTTCAGCCTGCCATCTTCTTGGTCAGCTGGCTCCAGAATAAAGTCCCTTCCTCGTCCCAACACCCCATCTCGGATTGACTGGCCTATCCCACAGTGAGCAGAGTAAGCTTGGACTCGGTAACATATACATGTAATATATACATATCAATAAAATGTATGTGGGTACATGCAGAGCGTGTGTGAACATTTATATGCTGCTATCATGGATTGAATTGTGTTCTCTCAAAACTCACATGTCAAAGCCCCAACCCACACTGTCATAAAATTTGGAGATAAGACCTTTAAAGAGGTAATTCAGGTTAAGTGAGGACCTAAGGGTGGAACCCTAAGCCAATAGGACTGGTGTCCTTATAAGAAGAGACACGAGGGATGTGCATACAGAGGAAAGAGAAGGCAGTTGTCTACAAGCCAAGGAGAGAGGCATCCTCAGAAACCAATCCTGCTGGTACCTTGATCTTGGACTTCCAGCCTCTAGAAGTGTGAAAAAATCCATTCTTATTGTTTAACCCCCGCAGTGTGTGGTAGTTTGTTAATGCCCAAGCAGACAAATACAACACACACACACACACACACACACACACACACACACACTCCTGAGAGGGAAAGACACAATGACATCTCAAAAACAATAAGCACATCTTGTCCTAGTGAGAGGCTGGGACCTGGGACTCTACCTGAGTGGTTCCACCAGGACAAATGTCTCCTCCAGCAACAGAATATAAAGAAATGATAAGGGACTAAAAATAACTGCATACTTGGGCAGCTGGGGCAAAATATGAGTAATTAGATACAACAAGGCCAAAACTCAACTGCCACTTCTGAGGTGCTGGGACCAAATCAGGGTTCCATGTCTGACTGATCCCCGTGCAAAGCAATACCAAGGGGGTGGGCAGCCCACCTAAGCCACCACTCAGGCTCTACCCAAGACCCAGTAAAGCCTTGAGTGAATGTCTCCTCTGTCCTCTTATTGATTTCTGTTGAGCAAAGCGTTCAAGCGCCCAGATCAATAACACCAGAACTAAATCTAGTCCCGGGACCTAGGTTCCCTCACCTTTCTGGAGCTCAGAATCCTCACCTTAAAATGAGCGTCACAGGACCTCATGACCATCCTTCCTTCTGTTTCTAAACTTGCTTTTAATACAGAACGTGTCAAACCTATGCAGAAGGAGAGTCTAGCATAGCAATCCCCCATATATGAGCTCCTTTAGTAGCTCAGTTCCCTCGGACTCTTTGACCCTATGGATTGTAGCCCGCCAGGCTCCTCCACCCTTGGAATTTTCTGGGCAAGAATACTAGAGTGGGTTGCCATTTCCTTCTCCAGGGGACGATTTTCAGGGCTTTTTATTTTTCCTTATATACGCATCTTAACTGGCTAAAGGCCAGTAAACCCCCGCACTGAAAGCTTCCCGGTCTCCTCCCTCTCGAGTTCCCCTCAGGACACACGAGAGGTGGGCAAGTGCAAGGGCTGACCAGGTAATGTTCTTTTCTTTACCATGGTTTCTGGCAGTGCATTTACGCGACTTTTTTTTTTTTCCTGTTTTTTAATCTTGACTCAGTACCTATACCATTTCGAAAACTTGGAAAATGCACACACACAACCCCCGCCCCCCGGCCCCGACACCTCATTCCTTCTTTTGTCAGTAGAAATCTATTTTTACCTCCTTAAGGGAAAAAAAAAAAAAAATCTCCCTCAAGCGCTGAAGTGCAAGGCTCCGGCGGGGTAGTCTTCAGGGTGGAGGACCAAGCCCCCAGGATAGAGGCTTCCTGCAGTTCAGGGATGGAGCGCCCTCCGGTCTCTGCAGGAGAAAAGGCTGGCCGGGCCTGGGCCCTTTCTCCGCGTGTAGACTGCGGAGGACGCAGAGAAACGAAAAAGTCTATCTCTGAAATGCTTAGTGAGAAAAACAAAACAAAACAAAACAAAACACACGTTTCAGGAGTAATAAACTCTTAACAAAATGGCCTCTGCCCCCGCGAGAGGTGCCCATTCGCCCTCCGGGGTTCAAGCTCTGCCCCCACCCCCGACTCGTGGGAAAGCGGCCCCTTATGGGGCGTCGCCCGGAGGCTCAGAACTGCCCGGGTCTGTTTTTCACATCGCGGGAAAGTGAATCAGCAGCGGGCACACAGCATGCAAAGGGCACGAGGCGGACCCGGGGGCGGAGGGACAGGACCCGGGGAGGGGCCGGCGGGGCGAGGTGGGGCGCGGACCAGGGGCAGGGCGGAGGAGCGCACCCCGACAGTAAGGCCCCAGGAGGCGAGGCCCCCCGGCGGAGCGGGCCCGGGGTGGGGGCGAGCCGGGGGAGGAGTCGGGAGCAGCCGCGGCCGGAGTGAACAGAGGCGCGGGAGACGGAGCCCCTGGGCGGGGCGGAGGGCGGAGATCGGGGGCTGGGGAGCGGAGGGGCGGACCTCGACGGGGCGGACCTCGACGGGGCGGCCCCGGGGGCGGGGGCCGGGAAAGGCGGAAGGACCGGACCGGTGGACCCGGCGGCCGAGAGCTGAGTCGCTCCCCTCGCCAGGCGGCCGGACCGGCGGAACCCCCGGAATCCCAGCCACGCGGGCGCCATGGAGACGCTGCTGTGGTTCTGCAACTGGAGCACGCTGGGCGTGTGCGCGGCGCTCAAGCTGCCGCAGATCTCGGCCGTGCTGGGGGCGCGCAGCTCGCGGGGCATCAGCCTCCCGAGCCTGCTGCTGGAGCTGGCGGGGTGAGTAAGCCCGGGAGCGCCCCGGCTCCGCTAAAGCAGGCGCGCGGGGAACCGAGCCCCAAAGCCCCGGCCGCGGGGAGTAGCGCCTGCCCGGGCCGCTCACTTCCTTTCCGTCCTTGCTGCTCCCCGAGCCTTGCGCCGGAACGAAAGTGGGCGCACGCCCGTTTTACCGATAAGGAAGCCGACACTCAGAGAAATCGTCACTCCGCCGGTTAGTGACAAAATCAGTCATCCCGCTTTGAGCAAGGCCACTGGCCCCTCGAGACTCGCGTTGGCATCCTCTCTAAATACACCCTCCCCCTAGCTCGGGTTTCGGTTTCCTTATAAAATGAGGGGTTGGACCCTCTGGCTTTTAAAAGTTACACCTTTCGGGGGGAGGAGTGCACGGGTGTCAGAGAAGGTAGAGCTTTTTGGAGGTAGAGGGGGATTTGAGTTGGAGTTGAACTTCAGCTGGCGCTCCAGTCGGCAGTCGAAGACTGTTGCAAGAGCTCGTTTATCCTTAAAAGTCAGGAGTGGGTGCCCTGACTCAGTCTTTAAAGATCTGAACGTGATGGATGATAGCCAGACTTGTTGCAGTGATCATTTCACAATATATACAAATACTGAATTATGCTATACACCTGAAACTAATATAATGTATATGTTATACCTCAGTTTACCGAAAAAGTAGTAATATTCTGAATAAGCAAAATAATAATCCTAAAGACCTGAACGGTGAAAAGCAGAGTTGTAAACTTGGTGGGAAAGACCCAAACCCAGCAGTCTAACCCCCTCGCCCCGTGAGGCCCAGCCCTCCTGGCTGCGCAGCGCCAGCCAGCGGACTCCAGTTACCACCGCGCAACTCTGAGGGCGGGTCCTGGGCAAGTACTTCTGGGTGGGGGCAGCCCGCTTGGTGGGACCCGGTTTCTCCCGCCAAAAGGAAGACAGAGGAGAGGGTCGGAGAAAGAGGGGACCTCCGGGGCGCAAGGCGTGAGGGGCCGCCCTCGGACCTGTGGGGTCCCTCCAGGAACACCCCCATCAGACGGGCCAACCCTAGGGTGTGTGACCTCCCTCGGTTTGGGGGCCCCCTGGGGAAGTGCTCCCTGCCTCAGTGCTCCCCATTTCTCTGGGGAGAATAGGTAATTGGTGAGTTCAGTCGAGCCTGATTCTTTGTGAGCCCATGGACTGTAGCCCTCCAGCCTCCTCTGTCCGTGGAATTCTCTAGGCAAGAATACTGGAGTGGATTGCCATGCCCTTTGATTGAAGGCGGGAGGAGAAGGGGACGACAGAGGATGAGATGGTTGGATGGCATCACTCACGTGATGGACGTGAGTTTGAATAGGCTTCGGGAGTTGGTGATGGACAGGGAGGCCTGGCATGCCTCAGTCCATGGGGTCGCAAAGAGTCAGATAGGACCGAGCGGCTGAACTGAACTGAGGAGTTCATCATTCAGGGCAGGGGATGCCCTAATCTGCTCCAGGGCAGGGGAACCCCTGGGCATCCTCTCAGGGACCAGAAGAGGTAACCACCTGGAGAAGGAGGCCCTCCAGGCAGGGAGCCTTGTAAACAGAAGCTTGGAAGCTGGACTGGAGGCAGTGAGGCCAGAGAAAGATGCTGAAGACATGGTCTTAGGTTTAAAGCATCTGTTTGTGCAGATACAGGGGATGGAGGTAGGTGTGCTTTTATTCCCATTTCACAGGTAGGGAAGCTGAGGCCCCAGAGGTTAGTAACTGCCAGGGATTGTGAGCCCAGCACCCAAGTCTTGGAGTCTGTGCTCCCCTTGGGGCTCCACCCTCAGCAGGTGATGCTGGAGGGATGAGTCCAGGTGGTCTCAGGAAGGTGGCTCAGCAGGTAGGTGGAGGGCTAAGTGCTGGCCAGTGTCCCAGCGTGGCCCCGGGTGAGGGTATGGGGCTGTGGTCACACCCCTTCCTGGCTTAGGAGATGTGAACCATTAAGTCCACATGGTCTGTGGAGGCTCTGGCTCACCCTGGGGGGCACATGGGGCCTGGCGGGATGGGGGGGGGGTCTTTACAGCCTGGGTCGGGGGAAACAGACCTGAGGGGATGATGACAGAGGCATTTAGATTTCAAAGGGGCTGGACTGTCCAGGGTGTGAACTGGGAAGGCAGGAAGCTCAGGCCTCTTCTTCTGAGAGGAGGGACCCTGGGGTCTTTATCCCCCACACCTCCACGCTACAGCCTCTCCAGGGCTAGAATTTTCTTAAAGGAACTGAAGAGTCCTCCTGTCTCCCCTTACCGCACCCCCCCCCACCAGCCGCAGTGCTCTGGAGGCCACTGGAATCATCTCAGGATGTTCTTCCTCTTTAAAACACAGGTTCCCCAGCCCACTGCTGGGCCCTCATATGCCCTGTGCCCAGGACGCCCGCCCAGGATGGCTCTCAGCCTCCCTCAGAGGAGCTTCCTGGCCTCTTGGGCTTCTTGAGTGCGTCCTTCTGAGGCAGCTGCCCGGGGCCTCGGAAGTACCCAGCCTTAGAGACAAGCAGGCCTGGGTCTGGAAGCCCAGTCTCTTCCTCCTCCCAGTCAGATCTGTCTCTTAACTGACCATCCAAAGCGGCTTGGCAGACCCCAGTGTCCTAGCTCCAGAAGTCGCAGAGATGATTCGGTTGATAGTTCATCCTCCTATTTCTGTGGTGGTTTGTGGTTTATTCACTCAGTCGTGTCCAACTCTTGTCACGCCATGGACTGTATAGCCTGCCAGGCTCCTCTGTCCATGGGATTCTCCAGGTGAGGATACTGGAGTAGGTTGCCATTTCCTCCAGGGGATCTTCCTGACCCAGGAATCAAACCCGGGTCTCCTGCATTGCAGGCAGATTCTTCACCATCTGAGCTACGAGGGAAGCCCTTGTTCTGTACCTCCATCCTTACCATTTGCTGATGCCTGGCTCCAGTTCTTGGGTTCTGCGCACAAACCTGGGCTCCTGGGTGGGAGCCAGGCTTGCCTGCTGCGGGGGTCGGGTGAGTCTGACCTCAGGAGTGTCCTCCCTCTCCCCAGGTTCCTGGTCTTCCTCCGGTACCAGTGTTATTACGAGTACCCCCTGCTGACATACCTGGAGTACCCCATCCTCATCGCACAAGGTAACTGACCTCCATCCCCCTGCCCAGCCTCGGCCCTCAGCACCTCCCACACCACCCTCACTCAGAGCCTTTCCTTTCCAGATCTCATCCTCCTGCTGTGTGTCTTCCACTTCAATGGGGATGTGAGACGGGCAGTGCCATACATCATCGCGTATCCTCCCAGCATCTGAGAATCGGGGCTGGGACCGGGTGGGGCGGCGGGGTGTGTTTTGTTTTGCTGTTCAGTTCAGTGGCTCGGTCATGTCTGACTCTTTGCAACTCCATGGACTTCAGCACACCAGGCCTCCCTGTCCATCACCAACTCCCAGAGTTTGCTCAAACTCATGTCCATTGAGTCAGTGATGCCATCCAACCATCTCATCCTCTGTCATGCCCTTCTCCTGCCCTCAATCTTTTCCAGCATCAGTGTCTTTTCAAATGAGTCAGTTCTTCACATCAGGTGGCCAAAGGATTGGAGCTTCAGCTTCAGCATCAGTCCCACCAATGAATATTCAGGACTGATCTCCTTTAGGATGGACTGGTTGGATCTCCTTGCAGTCCAAAGGACTGTCAAGAGTCTTCTCCAGCACCACAGTTCAAAAGCATCAATTCTTCGATGCTCAGCTTTCTTTATAGTCCAACTCTCACATTCACTCATTTTGCTAATAGGATGTTATTAAGCCGGGTTCTGTGCTGTGCTTCATCGTTCAGTTGTGTCCGACTCTTTGCGACCCCATGGACTGGAGCACGCTAGGCTCCTCTGTCCATGGGATTCTCCAGGCTCAAGAATGCTAGAGTGGGTTGCCATGCCCTTCTCCAGGGGATCTTCCCAGCCCAGGGATCAAACCCAGGTCTCCCACATGGCAGGTGTATTCTTTACCATGGAAGCCCTATTAAAGCAGGATCTTTTACCAGATATTTATTCTTTGGTTAAATTAAGAAAAAACAATCCCCACAGTAAGATTCCTTGTGGGTGAGTGTATCTCCACAGCCCAGAGATGCCCGAGATGTCTCTGCCTGGGGTCACCCCTCTGAGACCAGGGTGCCCTACGGTTCCCTGACCCACCAGGTGGGATATAGACTTAGGACCTCAAGGCTGGGCTGCAGGAGCACCTCTGTTGTCCATGTGTATTCTTTAGGGCAAAGGAGACATTTCTTCCCTCCCCGCCAAAGGTCCCCATGTAATGACAGGCATGTCTGGTCTGTAACACAATGCCACTAACACACCTAGTCAGCTTGGCTTCTTACTGCCTATTAGTAGGCAGGTCTGGGCTCCTGACAGCTGGTTCAGGTCTCCGCGGACTCCGGTCGTCACCCAGACCTGTCTCCTCTCACGTCACTCAGCATGTTCTGTGCATGTGGGCCTGCCTTCCATCTTCTTTCTGCTTGTCAAGACTCCCGTATTCTCTTGTTGAACTTCACTCTCCTTAAGAGGCCAAGAGAGCCTTTTTGAGTGGCAGTCAGTCCTGCCACATCAGTGACATGATCTGAGCTTCAGGGTGGAGGAAAGGTGAGGGGGGTGGGACGGCCAAGCCTCATCTGCCCAGAGCATGTGAGGAGGTGGGCGTGGAGTGGTGGGAACCCCCAGCGTACCCGCTGCCTGGATGGCCTTAGGCCCTGACCATAAAGCCCAGTCCTCCGGGCTGCAGCTGTTCCATCTATGAAGAGGCAGCATAATGCCTACCTTTTAGGGTTGTTTCTAGAATGACAATACCAGGAGTACAGGGCGAGCTGAGCAGATGGCAGGGTCATGGTGGTTCTTGTACTAAAAGCTTGTCTGCAGAGGGGAACTGGGTGTGGACTGAGTCCTGACCCTCCACTGTTGGATCGAGTTGTAAGCCCCCAGACTCGGTTTTCCTCTGCAAAAAAAAGAGGGATCACATGACCCTACTGCCCCTCAATGTTTCAAGGTCAGCCCTAGCTGGTTAAAAAAGGCTTTAGAAAACAGAGTACTTTAAAGGTGAAAAGCATGGTGGGATTTACTTTTTAAATAAAATGCAGCAGCTTTGTGCAAATGGTGAGGTGTAGATTAGAAAATGTGGGTGCTAATGGCAACTTTTAAGTATCAACATGTTTATAACCTCCTTCTTCCAGTTGTGACTTACAGAGCGCGAGTAAGCAGGGTAGCCACGTTAATAGTGCATTTTTTAAATAAGTAATAGTAGGTCCCAGATACTATGCAGGATACGCCGATGCTAAAAAGTCACTTGTTGTTGATCTGAGATTCCAGTTTAACTGGATGTCTTGTATTTTAATTTGCTCTCTCTAGCCACCCTACAAATAAGTCATCTCTAGGATCTCAGTTGCTGCTACTGCTGCTCAAGTTTTATAAAATGTGTATCTGGAATGAGTGGAATGAGGTGCAATGGTACAAAATTGGGCAACAGTAGTTTAAAATTCAAATTAGAGAGTGTTTGAAAAAATTCCCTTCTCCTAGATTCAGGCTGCCTTTTTCTGGTATCGACTCATATTTACTTCCACTGGCCAGAGCACAGGGATTGTCTGTTTCAAAGCCCTTCATTTAAATAATGCTATTAACTGTAATCCCAGCAGCCTCTTGAGTCCCTACAATATACCACAAAGCAGTGAGGAGGTAAATGGGGTAAGGAATATTAAGTCCCATTTTGCAGATAAGCAAACCAAGGCTGAGAGAAGGAAAATGACTTGCCTATGGTCACAGCAGAGGCTCCTGGCTGTTCCCGCCCTGGCCTGGCCACCACCTCCTGTGTTTGTTTCTGATTCTCTAGACGGGTTGCCTTCCTGCAGCATCACTGCGCTTGATGGAAATCAGGTGTCATTTCTCCTGTCTCCTAGCATTGCTCTACCCAACTGTGTCATTTCTACACTGGAGTTAGCAGGAAAGAGGAAACCAGTAAACAGTTTCACGTGACAACAATTTTGCAGAAGACGTCTCCTTTATCAGGCATCCTAAGTGCTTAACTTGTTTTTTTAAGTCAATCCTTGAACATGCATTATGAGCCAGTCTTGTTCTATGCACAGTCTTTTTGTGTTCCAAAGTTATGTGGGAAACAAAACCATATTTAATCAGCTAAATATATTGAATGTTGCATGGTATGAGTTACAGAGAAAAATAAAGCACTGACAGGTAATAAACAGGAGGTATCTCAGTTTTACACAGGGTGGACAAGGAGCTATTTATTGAAAAGGTAATATACGAGTAAACACTTGAAGGAAGTGAGCCAACAAGCCCTAAAGATAACCAGGTGAAAAAGTTTCCTAAGAAGAGGATAAACAGGTAAGTGTATGAGGCCTCAGATGAAGTACGCTTGAAAATGTTCAAGGAATAGCAATACCATTGTGTCTGGAATGGAATGATTCTGGGAGAGATCATAGCAAATGAGGATCCTTCCCTGATAGCTCAGTTGGTAAGGAATCCGCCTGCAATGCAAGAGACCCCAGTTTGATTCCTGGGTCGGGAAGATCCGCTGGAGAAGGGAATGGCTACCCACTCCAGTATTCTTGGGCTTCCCCGGTGGCTCAGCTGATAAAGAATCTGCCTGCAGTGTGGGAGACCTGGGTTCAATCCCTGGGTTGGGAAGATCCCCTGGAGAAGGAACAGACTACCCACTCCAGTATTCTGGCCTGGAGAATTGCATGGACTCTACAGTCCATGGGGTTGTAAAGAGTCAGACACGACTGAGCAACGTTCACTTTCACGACCACTGTGATTATTTTGGCTTTTATCAGACTGATATGGATAGACCCTGGAGGCTTGTGATCCCACAATTTCATGTTTTAAAAAAAATAAAAATAAATTGTGTTACATCTTAGATCAAAGGTGCGTTAACTGTTGACATTATGTTGGAGAGGTCTACATGGTCAAGAATGAAATGAGCAGTTAAGATCATCTGGAACATTCCCAGCCCTAAGATGGGTCCGAGAACACAGGGTTCTCTGTAATTTTCTTCCAGAATTCTGCTTCTGTGCTTCTAAACTAGCAAGTGTTCACCTGGACCACTTTTGTCTTTTCCAAACTGACAAGTTCTAGCAGAGTTGTTCCCAGTTCCACACTTGGCTTAGACGTGTAACCTCTGTGTCCGCGGTTTGTTTCTACGGGCGGGTGGTGGAACTGCCAGCCAACAAGTCACTGCCGTGTCCCTTAGCGCGTGGTAAGCTGTGTGTCTGCTTGGTTCATCCTCAGTCTGCAGCAGTGGATCCTAGATCTGGCCATGGTGAGTAAACTGCCCCAGAGAAGAACGTGTGTTCACAGCAGCCTGTCTTCCCCCTTTTCCTCGTGACACCTGCCCTGCAAACAAGTGTTATAGATCAGACGTTCAACCCGCTGTACCGAAAGCACCCCTGTGCTTTGCAGCTGTCCCAAAGCATGCTGGGATGAGAGTCCAGTGCTATCCAAAATATTAAAAAGACAGTATTCTCACTTAAATTTATGGCATAATATTTTTACTTCCTTTGGCGGGGGGAGCCCTCGAGAACCAGATTATGGAGTTAGTAGTCGAATGAAGAACTGAGCATGAAGTGAAGAGTTTCAGGTTGGGTGCTAGGTCACTTCAGTTGTGTCCAACTCTTTGTGGCCCAAGGCACTATAGCTCATCAGGCTCCTCTGTCCACGGGGATTCTCCAAGCAAGAATACCGGAGTGGGTTGCCATTTCCTCCTCCCAACCCAGGGATGGGACCCACGTCTCAGGTTTCCTGCATTGGCGGGTGGGTTCTTTGCCACTGGCGCTGTATTATCAGGTTAGTAATTACACAGTGATGACATACTCATTATTTTTCTAACTTTGCCCCCTGAACATTATTTTTTTTCTTCCTTGGAAAAAGGTAAGCACTGTATTCTTTTTCCTTCCTTGGTTAAGGGCCAGAAATTCGCTGCTGTAAGAATAGGATTCTGGTAGCAGGTCAGGAAGCATTTGACCAAAGATCAATTGGTGGTTGACATGAACTTTTCTACCTCATGGGAAAAGGAGCAGAACTAATTGGTGGTCACTGCCGGCCACACCTGAACTCCTGAATTTCGACCCATTCTACCTCCAGCATCTTGTTGGAAAGTGGACTTGGCTCTCAGCCTTGTAACATACGGAGAGCAGATATGTAGGGTTATACCATGGCAGCCTGGGCCTGGCTCAGGGTGGAGGGTGCTGTACTTTTAACCTCATTGGGGAGCAGAGGTCAGGGAGCACAGGGCCAGAGTCTCACCACGTAGCTCAGAACAGCCAGAAACTCAGAGCTGATGCTTCCCAGCTTGCTGCTTTGAGTTGATAAATCTCAGTGCAAAGCAGTATGGTGCCCCCATGCTCTACTGTAGTATCTATACATCAATTTATTATTGGCAGGTGGGGACAGGTAAGCCTTTGTGGCCGTTGCAGATTTTTACCCTCGGTTACGTCCTACCTGTGGCTGCACATTGGTTACTCACCTGAAGGGGTTGGTGGGTTAGACCTAAGCATGCTGCTGCTGCCTCCATTCTTCATCATGAAACTTGGCTTTTGTCCTTGTGCGAGTTGGTTATTACTTGACATGAAAGTTTGGTTTCAAAGGTGCTTTCAGGGAATTCCCTGGTGGTCCAGTGGCTAGGACTCCGGTGGTCCAGCTTCAATCCCTGGTTGGGGAATCCCAAAAACAATAACCCCTCTTCTCCCCACAAAGGGGCTTTCAGTATCTGGTGCTCTTCTGCATTTGAAACTAAGGGACTCCTTTTTCCTGTTTTATCTTCAAACAGAATTTATGCACTTTCATCAGTGCGGCCAGTAAGTTTGCCCAGCTCCAGTACCTGTGGAAGAGCAGGGACTCAGGAGCTGTGAGCGCTCTGACGTGGAACCTCGCTTCTTATACCTGTGCAGGTAAGAACACAGCTCTAATTGATGGAGTGTCCCCTATTAGTGTCTGTGTGGGGTGTCTACCTAGAGGGGTGTGCTAACTTGATGTCCAAGGGTCATAATCCCTTGAGCTTAAATCCTTTGCGTGTAACTCTTGAATCTCTAGTGTATCCTTATTTATAAGACTGATTTCATGCACCCCACTCTCCATTTTCTGCAAATCTGTATCCCAGTTGCTAAAAAAATCTGAAAGGACACTTTCTCCAAAAATATGACCTAATATTAACAGTCCTCTCGTTGTTTGCAAAGCATCAAGAAGTTGATTATATTAAATCCACTAACTTGTTTTAAACATGTTTATGATGTAATAAATTGAAGAGATGAGAATCATACATTGACTTTTGTGAATGAACATAATTTGCAGCAGTGGAATTTTCCTGGAGCCATGGTGTGTTTGGCCTCAACTTTACAATTTCCATTGTTCATTTGGATTCTTGCAGGAACTACCTAAAATGAATATATACTCTATTTAGGTAGGAACATTTTAAAAAATCCAGAGCTATTACATTCATTAGATTTACTAATTGTTGATATTTGAATTATACTTTTTCATGTTTCTTCTAAAATCTTAAACTATCTTAACTTAAACTATCTTAATCTTAAGCTTCTCCATCCAGGGTTCTCTTCTACTCAGATCTTTCAAGAATAGTTAGTGTGTATTCCTGTATTTAAAATGGAAAGATATTTGCTAAGTACTGAAATGTCTGAGTTAATATTTATTGCTGAAATTTTTCTTTTACAGCAAGAATAATGACAACTTTAATGACCACCAATGATCTTACAAGTAAGCAAAATATTTTTCTGCCCATGTCCTCTTTGAACTTTATGCCATCTGCCTCCTTCACTTGTAAATTATCTTGGGGTTTAACAGAGCCAGTTTAGCCCCACTGGAGGCTAGCTGCAATATACTGCAGGTCCTCATCAGTCTCCATGTATAGTGTTAAGCATCCTCTTGCTGTATCCGGGATAGAATATGCACAAGATAGTCGATTCTTCATAAAGCTTCCACTCCAGCAGTGGAAATGAAGAGTGAGGTCATCACACAATTTTTGAAAAATATTGTAAAGTGTTTTGAAAGAGTACAGGCTGAGCACCTAACAAGGGAGCCTGACATAGTTGGAGGGAGCTGGGAAGATTAATTTGAAGGGGAGAGGGATGAGGAGGGAAGAGACTGTTAACAAGGAGCAGCACGTATGGAGGTTGTGAGCAAGGAGGATGGAGGAACACCAGCAGGGCTGGTGGGAGAGCCCTGGGGTGAGTCTAATGAGAGGGAAGGCGGTGGCAGGGAGCCTCAGAGAACTGCCCACGGGCAGCAGGATGGGGAGTGACACAATCATTTTACTCCATGTCCTTGTTCTGTTACTTTTAAAGGGTTACCGTGATGGAGGAGAAAACAAACTTGGGTTAACCTAAAGAGAATGCCATTCATTGCTTAGGCTGAGTTTCCAAGCATATAAATGTTTGGAAAATGATTAAAACAGGTAGGGAGATTTATTCTGTGAAGACTAGAAATGTGCCCTTGGTGTGTAGACCTTTTAAAGAAGTTCATTATTATTTGAGACATAGTGCCAGAAAGCAGCAGGATGCATTTGCTAGTCCCATCCCAGGGTTTTATCTTTGGCTCAAGTACTTTACATTAGCTCTGAGAGAAGGGTTTAAAGTGTCTGGTCAGAGCGTATACCTGGGTCAAGTAGGGAAGGGAGAAACCTGAGGCTTCCCTATACGATGTGAATTCTCTGCTTGCAAAGGAGAGTCAAACCATAGTTGAACAACAAAACAAATTTCATATTAAAAATTAATTTTAAAAGGTCGAGAATCTTCTAATTGTGATTTGTTTTGTATCTGAGGTGACAGCTGTTCATGAAAGTGAACTTTCTGAGAATAGTAAAGTGATTATCTGAGAATACTCTCAAACAGTCCAACTATCTTAAAAGTGTTTGACAACCCCAAAGACACATTAAGTCTCATAAACCTTATTTATCAGGAGTGTTCATTAAGTCATTGAGATTATTTTTTCCTTTTTAACAAAAAGCTACGTTTTCATGGTTACTTTAATATAAAACATACCTTGATGTTTTCCAGAATTATCTTAACTGATTGCAGTGTACTACTTTTTGCTTAATTAACATGGAATTTTCTAAGGTACCATCACCCTTAAGACTTAAAAAATGGTAACAGGTTTTTTAAAAATTGTAGCATTTACCAACCAGAGTCAGATTCCTCCAAATTAAGCATTTAAGATGAAATTATTCCTGAAGTCAGGCCAAGTGACCAGAAGTAGTAATAAGACCATTTTTTTCCCCAGAAATATTTGGAACCACAGTTGCACTAACGCTCACATGATCCATAGTTCTGTTTCCTTTTGGGTGGGGGGTAGGGAGCATTAAGTCTATTTAGGCTTCTACTTAGAGAAGGTGATGATTTTATGTGAAAACAGTATTTTTTAATATACACTTTTCTTTTTTGACTCATTTCAGTTCTTATACGTTTCGTGATCATGCTGGCCTTAAACATATGGGTAACTGCTACAATACTTCACTACCGGAAGACCGATATAAAGTCTGAATGATGGATTATTCCCATACACAAAGTGGATTCTGAATAACTGAACCAAAGGAAAAAAAAGCTCACTGCTAAATCCTAAGTTTAGTCAACTATGCCAAAGATACTTTAGACTTGAAAAAGCCCAGTTAAACACTTGTTTAAAAACGTTGATTCTTAAAAATCCTCCACCCCCACTTTATTAGGTTAAGGTAGGACTTAGACATCTGCAGTTCTGAGAAGGCTGGTGATGGATGGAAGTCTTCCAAAAGCCCATTCTGAGGAGGTAGCTTTGACCCTTATTCTGGGAACTAATTACATCTACTTCTCAGCTTTTAAAATCTCTTTTAAGAAATACAGCCTCTCCAAAACACAAATGCACATGAATGGAGTGGGATTTTGGAAATTTTAATAAATTACGAGGGTTCACTTCCTGGGACGAATGTTTAATTGTAATACATACGTAATAGGATGGCCTTATTGTATCATATTATCATAAAATACCTCCTTGGCTATAGCAAAGATATCAAGGCAAGCAAAAATGTAACTGGTTTGAATGCATATACCAAAGTAGCTCTTTAACTTCATACTGTGCCTTTAAACATTTCATAACAAAAGATAGCAGCAATCTACTTGAAGGGGCAATCCCAGTATACTTCCAGATTCAAGCACAATGCTGCCATTTTTAAAAGGATCACACCTGCACAATTAACTGTTATGGTACAAAATACAGCCAACCTCAACCAGGGTTTGCCTACTGAAAATATATGCAGCAAAGAGTATTGCTGGGTTCTGCCAAGCTCTCATGGATTTAATTCTCATTATGGTATCATACTCTAAACATGCTGTTAAGATTATCCACTGTATTTTCCTATAAAAGCTTATAAAACCTAACATTTAAAAACATTCACCAAATAATTGAGTAGCATTATTCCATTATATGCAGTAAGTAAATGATATTTATTAGAAAATGTTTCCTGTGTAAAATAAACTTATTTTGAACTCTTCTGAGTCTTAAAACTCAATTGTTTTAATGTGATTAGCTTTAAGTTAGGTAAAGTAGTTTTAAAAATAAAAACTGACTAATCCTTTTAGAACTACTGCTTGGGACCAATAGGAAGAGAAACATGGCATCTAAAAATAAAAAAACAAGTCATTCATTCTATAGTTTTAAAAATCATAGTTTGCATTTTAAAAAAAGTCCAAGTAAATCTTTTCTCATATGCAGTTATCATCTGACTAGTAGTATAAACTGTGTGATTTTTTTAGTCTAACAAATATTTTATTTAGATATACTTTATCAATGCTTAATGCAACTCCTTAGGTGGAGAGTTCTCCATTTTTCCCCTTTGGAAGGGAAAGGAACATACGTTAGAGCCACCCCAGATATTCTGTACACAACATTAATCCCACAACAATCCTGTAAGTAAACAGTCTCCATTTTACAGATGAAAATACTGAAACCCATACTGAATAACCTGTCCCAGATCAGATAGCCAGCAAGTATCCTAGAAAAGACCTCACTGATTACCAGAAAGTTCTAGAAAACCACTTGTTAGCACACTATTCTGCCGAAACAGACTTTTGCTTCTTTTCCTTATCCTTGATGCTCAAATGAGATTCTCAAGTTTGCATGTTCCTTAAAATACTGATGTTAAATTAGACACAAACTCCTAGTTGAAATTTGATTTTGTATTTCTCCATGGATTAAGCAATAGGGCTGAAGATCCCCAAGTGTGTAACCTCAATTAAGATTTCTTTGCTATACCCATCTTTTAGGGAAAGTAATTTTGGGGGGTAAATTTTAGAAGGTTGCAAGAGTATTTCACAGGAAAATGCTTATGTCTTAATTTCTTTTATTTAATTTTTAATATAAAAAGCAGGCATAAAATACAATTACATTACTACAAAGATGCAACAAAATTTAAAAAAAATTGGGGGGCACCATGATTTTTGTTCAAGGGGACAGCTGATCAAATATTTATGATTATCTAAACCATGCAGTTCATAACTTACTACAACCCCAAACAAAACTCATTATTATGGGGAAGGGAATCAAGGAGAGAACCCCCTAAACATAGTATCTAGCACTGTCAGACAGTGCTTATTCTTCAAAGTGCTTTACAAACCAACCATGGTATCTTCACAATATAGGGAAACTGACATCTTATTCCAGGGGAGGAGAGGTGAGTCAGTAGCAGTGTCAACAGAGATCAAGAAACTCAGAAGTGACTTGTTCTCACTGGATTTTTAAAACATGTTATTTAAAGCATGTTTCCATAAGGTAATATAGTGTCCAGTTTCTCTATTTTACCAAACCAAATCCTGTAATAGATTAACAGCAGCAGCATAACTTCTCAAATTGTGGTTTGGCAACCTAGAGTATTTTTTCTTGAGGATCTACAGATAAACTGGGATAAAGGAGAGCGTTCACAGCCAGAATCGTCTAACTCTAGCACAGGTTAATCTTAAAAACACTCACCTTTATTTTAGATTTATTGGTATACTTATCCTTTAGTTAGCTCCAGAGCATTTTAAACTTGTTATTTTTAAGTTTGCTTCTAGATAGCATTTCTTTTTTATTAATACTTTCAACATGCACTAGACAGTCATCCTCAGCAGTAACCCTGGCACCAGTTTTCCTTCTGCTTTGCCTCAGTATTCCCACAAAAGTAAAAAAACCAAAAAACAAAAAACAACCCAACTAAGAAAATCCCAGTATTCACTACTTCTTAGTTCTCAAAAGGAGGTATTTGTGGCTCTAGGAGAAATCAGGTGTGAGGAAACAAGTAACTTTTGGTCTTAACTTTATCTTGGAGGTTTTGGAGCCTCAAGAAAAAGAAGCTGGCACAAAAGCAGGTTGTTAGACCAAGTCAATGTCACATTTAATGAGTGTTGGGAAGAAAACATTTGGATGGGGGCATGCACTTGTATGTACATGAAACCAGCAACAGGGTATAAAGCAAATTCTTACCCAAGGTCAGAATTTTTTATTAAGCACACTTCCATTGGCTGGACAAATGACCTATAAATCCTTATGTCAAACCATATAATGTGAAGAATCCTCATGGAGAGATTTTTTTTTTGCCCCTTAGGATCTCTTTGCCCCCCAAAAAACTTCACATTAATTTTCCTTGTATAGTTGCATCACACCATGATTCTCCATATTCTCTAATATATATATACAGCATTCAAAATTTAAACTTTTGCCATTTTTACTCAAATATTTCAATTACTCATGTGTAAACTTCAAATTATTTCACCTTAATAAAGTTTATTAAAAATATATATATATACTCTCCAATTCAGAATAATATGATAGAACCTCCAATAGTGTAACAAAATCTCTATATAAAATATTAATTCAGTCTCCTTTTAACAAGTCTAATGAATGGAAATATTTATTCTATATAAATTTTATATATTTTTCATTTTTTAATCTTACTTAAAAAAAAGAGCTGTGCCCCTGAACCAGAACATACCTGCAAGGGAAATGGCATGCATATCTAGTTTTAGCACAGACAGCATGGAAGAGTGCAGCCTGGATGATGTAATAACAAGATTCAGTTTCAGTACATCAGCAGCCAAAGGCCACTCTTCAATTTCCACAATAGTATCTATAATTGGGGATCTAACTCTTTAAACACTTCAACACTGACCCCAGAAGGAATCAATGAAAAATGTCTACTTCCTTCATAGAGATATTGGATGATGTATCTCAGTATCATGCCAAACTCTATGTACATGTATATACACAGAGAGGCTGAGAGAAGATCACAGAATTTTTCTTTACTTGATTCTTATCACTGATGTATACTGTAGCAGTATAAAACACATACTTTTCTGGGATAATGAGAAATAAAACAGGAATAGTCCTGCATAAACTGTATGTAACTTGAATAGCATTTAAAAAAATAAAAATTAAGTGCCTTTGAGGCCACTGCTTCCCAGCCACAATAATGAAATGCTGCCATACACAGTCATGTGTTTACGGGATCACACTTAAATACTTAAAATATATCTACAGTATGTCTTAGTTTTCTTTGTATTTGAGATAATTTTTTGAATCTTGAGTGTGAAAATGTAAAAAGTCACAAATGTCTTTATCAGAAATAAAAACACACCTAGGGTAGCCAGCAAATTAAAAGCAAAGAAAATGTTTCATAGTCACACACTAATACTGAGGTCTGTAAAAGGGGTCGGATAAGTAATAGATATACATAAAAGATATATTAGTTCCAATACTACCCATTACTGTTTCTATCACCAATACTTAAACAAAATTCTGTTATACAATCAAAATAGGCTGACAATGATAACTACTATGTGTAAAAATAGTGCACTAATTTTCTTCTGCAAAGCAAATTTGCATCCTAAGAGCTGGTAAATAATTTTTTTTGTTTGTTTTAAATACAGGAAAGGGTGGATATCTTGAAAAAAATTAAATTAAGGCATTCAAACTGGGTAAAGTTGCCTATTACAAAGCATTAAGAAACTGATATAATTAACTTCAAACTTGTTGCAATAATTGCTTAAACATGAACATGCAGCTTCCAGCAGGTACACACAATGAGTAATATAAACTCCAACATTATGGCTTTATACAAGTGCATAGTTGCAAATGCAGTAAGTAATGATATCTGATTAATGTTTATAAAAAAATAAAGTGGGAAGTTAAAAAACCCTCTTGCAGTATTACAGTACTATTTGTGTGTGTGTTTATGTGTGTGTGTGTGTGTGTGTGTTCACACACACAATACAATGGTCACTTCTTAAAGACGCAGTCTCTATCACTGTAGTGGAATCCATTCCCAGATTCTTCTGGCAAATGTGCTGGTGAAATCTCTCTGTTGAAGCGGAAAAGATGATTTCTGTAACTCTTCTAAATTCTTTATGCAATGTAGTGTGAATGATGCTAGGAGAGCTTTATGGAACAAGTCTGAAAGAGTTGCACATGATATTCTTATTCTATTAACCAATCACTGTTGGTTCAACTTGTTGCTCCAAAGGAGCCCAGAAAACCTATTGAAGATTTAGAATTTATATTGCAGGAATAGAGGGAATATATATGTGTATTAGTCTCTCAGGAAAATATAACTTTTTAATAAATTTTGGGCCATCATATTTCAGTCTTGTTTCAACTGGAAGAATATGATCACCTTGAATAATGACTGCATTCACAGAAGGCAGTTAGCTGGAAAGAAAAGGAAAATAAAGTCAGTTGATACAGTGAAATAATTTAAGAGATTATGATCAGTTCTTTGAAAAGGCATTCCATTTACATCAAACTCTACAGTCTTCCAACTACTATACTTTTTAACACCTAAATCATGCATATAGCATATTTACTGTCTTACTTTTCTTATTTCAAGGTACATGCAATTATATTCTTCCTCATATTTTCTCTTATTGTCCACAAACATGACACACAAGTTTTAATATGGTTAACTGGCTATTAGGGTGAGATGGTATGTCAATGAATAACTCAAGTGAACCTGTTTGATTTGAGGTTTAACTGTTAGCTTCCTCGTGTGGGTGAAAGAAGAGTGGACTGAAGGACCAGGCTCTACTTGGCTGTTTCACCCTATGCCACATTTTAAAAATCTACAAAATGGGAACAAACACACTATTGTAGTGAACATATGTAAAAAATACCCTGTAAATCCTGGTTATAAACAGATCCAAATAATGTGTGATTTAAGTATGTACTTTGCAACATGTTATTTAGGTTAAGATAGACATTATTTCTTTTACATTCATTCCATATGTAAGGTTTAACTCATGAGGTTAAGTTTTCATTCAAATCTCTGTTAGCCTCTATTAACCAAATGACATTTTCTAAAAGCACAAGAGCTTTCACAGCATACCATTAGCATTCTTCAGCAAAAGTAACATTAAATTTTCAAAAAGTAAACATTTCATATCACACAAAAAAGCAAAATCAGAAACAGCTAGTTCACAGCATTTATCAAAGTTTTTATGGTTTCAATTCTTGCAAGTTAGAAAGAGGGAAAGAGTGGGGAAGAAGAGAGGGATGGAGGGAGAAGGAATCCCATGCTATGTTCACAAACTAATACAGCTGTAAGAACTTGAAAACACTGTAAATTTTACTTCTCTGCATATGACTTCTTTAGAATGAACAGAAAGTATCAGAATTAGCTCCATTTGTTATTTCTACATGTTTCATTCCTAAGATAAAAAATTAAAATTCCAACTGTATTGAAAATATATAGCCAATAAGGAATCTGAACATAGCATTTTGCTTTCATACTTAACATGGAAATTTCAGTTAGAAATTTGTCTGAAGGCTATTTTTCAAATATATTCTATCAAAAACAACTCAATAAAATTTCAAACTGGTAAAAAAAGAATGAAAACCCAAAGTGCAAACCACATGCACTACTTGGAAAAACTAAAACAACTCATTTCTCATTTTTTGATTTACCCCATTTAACTTCTTCAGAAATCAAAAACATCGTCATCATCATCACCACCATCAACATCATCAAATGACCAATCCCAGTCTTTAAATGCCAAATCAAGCAATCTGCAATAGGAGGTTTGCAAGTTTATACTCTAACAGTCTTTAGAAACAACAGCTTAATATCTTATGATGGAAAAATCACACATTATGCTGTAAACATTTTAACTTTCCCTTCACTGATAACAACATGATTAAAATTGAGATGGAAGCACTCAGAGAAGTCTTTCTCTTTATATGCAAATGCACATAATCATGTTGACCAGGTATGCCTTCCAAACCATCACAGAACAGAGGACACAGAAAATATTCAGGGGTAAGACATAATCTTCTTTCCACTGGGCCGACATAAAAATGTAGCCACCCTGACACCCCATTTAAGAATTATGAAAGCTCAACATGTGTTAATGTTCCCTTCACAGAAGTGTCCAGATTGTCAGCTCACATTTTCCCAGCGTTGTACCATAAACCCGAGTATGAAAAGACGATTAATTCTAAGAATGTAGCTTTCTCAATTCCTGCAAGACCCTACTTGTTCAATGGGTCACCAAAGGTTAAGCCTTCCATAAAACTACAGATAAGGGAAAAACCAAAGGTAGATAAGCAGCATTAGCAACTTATCTTGGCCAAATAAATTAAGACTTAGAAGAGGGGTATATGCAATCTTCCCTTTCCAATTCAACCCAATTACCTAACATTGCAATAATTTTTAAAAACAGAAGTAACTTCCTCATTGTTTATAACTGTGACACTCATGAATACATTTGTGCCAAGGAACTCACCTGGTCCCCAAAACTCAGCTATGGTCACTATGCAATTGGTTCTTAAACTTTAGTGTATATGATTTACCCAATGCTATGTATAATGCACATTCCGAGGCTTCATCTCAAGAGATTCTGATATAATTAAATTGGGGGTAAGCTGGGTGGGTAAGTATTTGCATTTTTAAGATGAATTTTGAGATGAATTCTGATACAGCTGGCTGACTTTGAGAATCACTGACAGAGTAGGTTGATGGATGATTATTACCCTAATTTAAAAGTAAACAAATCAACTCAAATTACTCTACTTCAATATGCACTAAATACAAAATATAAGCACACAAACTCAGATATAGTTATTTATTCCCTTAAAACATAGCACAGCCGAGTATATATTCATTTATTTAGCCTTACATGTATAGCTATGGTTTCAACTCTACTACTTGGGAGACTTCTTGCATAAGCAGGGAGTTCTTCCTGCATATCCAAGCCCCTGTTTTAGTATACTTTTATGAAAAAATATGCACCTCATATCCTTCCAAAACCTCTGAAAAATGTGTGAAGTGTGTGCCCAGGTCACAATCTTCAGATTTTAAAAGTCTCATCACTAGGCTATCAGTGCAATGCATGATGAGTGAAAGCAAAAGTCACTCAGTCGTGTCCGACTCTTTGCGACCCCATGGACTACACAGTCCATGGAATTCTCCAGGCCAGAATACTGGAGTGGGGAGCCTTTCCCTTCTCCAGGGGATCTTTCCAACCCAGGGATCAAACCCAGGTCTCCAGCATTGCAGGCGGATTCTTTACCAGCTAAGCCACTAGGGAAGCCCAGGAAAATGCATGATGAAACTTCCCTTAAAACCTCTGCCTCAACCACTCCCAGTCAGTCATCTAGTTGTCATTTCAACTTAAAAAATCTGTCTTTAACTTGATTTCTTCTCTCCATTTTTACTGTCAGTATTTTAGTTCAGGATCTCATTAAGACAAAACATACTAATCTCTTGTTGAAAGCCTCCTATTAGAACAAAATCAAGACGACTCTAGCATAGTGATGAACTCAGTCCTTTTCAATCTGGCCCAGAGCTTTCTCAGTGTCACCTTCTTCTGCTTCCTATTCTGACCCACTCCCCACTGTAACCCCATACAACATTGCAAACACACATGTAACCCTGACAACCAGTGCCTCTGCATATAATATTTTGCCTAAAACTTTCTTTTCTCTTATTTCTTTGCCTGGTAAATTACTAATCCTCCATTTTTCTGAGACTTTTTCTTGATGCTTTAATGGCAGAATTCTCCATGATTTCCTTTGTTCTCCCAAAACTCTTGTTCATACCTCCATAATAAACAACATGTTAACTGATCAATGGATATACATTTCAGGCCTATTAAACTTATCACCAAAGACTGCTGCAGAAGGAGGTGCACTGAGTTTTGAGTTCTACTGGCAGCATATTAAGTGGGTCTGTTTCTTTACATCTTACCAATACTAAGTTTCTTAATCTTTATCATTTTGGCAGGTGAGAACAGTTTTACAATATAGTTTTAATTTCTTTGCTAAATAATCAGGTTGATAACTTTTAATATTTATGGTAATACTTATATGTTCCTAATTTTTATATTGGGAAAAGTCAATCTCCTTTTTCTAAATGACTTATATAAGAACTCCATGCATAAAGACACTAACCCATCTTTCTCATGTGTGTTGTAAAATGTGTGGCATTTAAAAAATCTATAAGGCTTTAATTTTTGGTTAGTCAATCTTTTACTTTCTTTTCTTTCTTTGCTTTTACTCTTAGGAAGGTCCTCTCAAATCCAAGATCAGATATACATTCCCCTATTTTCTTCTACTTCATTTATGAATTTACTTTTGATACGTCAAGTTGTATATAACTTTATTATCTTTTTCCAATTAGTCTATTAATGTTCTAATATTTAAAACTGGAAAAGAATGAAGATGAAATAATGATAAAATACTAGCTCCCCCTACCCTTAAGTTTTAACTGTACTGGTAATGCTTTATTTTTTAAAACAAGTATTTGTTGCATTTCTGCTTTATATTTTTCTGCACGGCTTAAAAAAAAATCTTCATAGAAAATTAAAGAGAAAAGCCCTCAGCAGGGACCAACATTTGTATCTTGCACTGGAACAAATGAGGATCTCTCCAAACTGTCTTCATCAAAAGTCAGCCTTTTAGTCACAAATTTCTTACTTTTCTAGCATAGTGTTTTAATTCAAATTAAAGAAAAATAACTTTCTTCTAGAACAGCATTCTACACATTATGTTTTATAAACTGCCAATTAACTCAAGTCTCCTTGAATCACCATGAGGCAGAGAAGTGTGAAACAGCTGAGGACGTAGGATCTGGAACTATCTTATCTGGATCTAAACTCGTGACCCTGCTGCTCGTGAGCTGTGTGACACTGGGCACACAATGTTTCAGTGTCTTAGTCTCCTCATCTGTAAAACAGAACCGCTAAATCACAGGGTGGTTACAAGGATGAATAAGTTAGTACAGTTACAGTTCTCAGATGAGAGCTTGGCATAATATAATATGCCCTCAGAAATGTCATTGTATATAATAATAGTAGCTAACACATATTACTTCAAGCACTTCAGAACTACAGAAAAAGGGAAGCACTGCAAAGAGATGTAAAAGAAGACTCAGAACAAGAACATAACAGAAGCCAAAAGAAAAAAATGCAATGATGCAGTTGTTAACAAAGGTAAAGTTAAAAAAAAAGATTAGATGAATATTTATGGGTGCTATGTTTTAGTGTGTTTAGGAATGTACAAATGTGATGATGTCTAATGAAGCCAAACATTTGTTTTAAGAAAGATACCATGTGAGTTAATTGGTTCAACTAAAGCTAGACTGACTAGTGCTAAGACTAATATTAAATGAGCACAAATGAAGAGCTATATATTAAATCACTGTTAATACAAACCAGATATTCTGTTCCTACGTTTTCTTGGATAGTGCTTTAAAGCGCTACCCATTTGTCTATAGGGATACGTTATAAATTAGCAGGTATTAAAGATCATCTGGTCCAAGGCTTGACTCCCCTCTCGAGCCATGCTACTCGACATCACACTGCATACATAGGACAGATGGAAGACCACTGTTCCCTCACAGTTCTGCCAGCCAGTCATCTAAACCAAGTGCACACCTGTGGTGACAGGGCACTCACCATTCTAGAGCAAGCCAATTCTTTCAATTTTGCACATCTGATTGCTTGATAGCTTTCCCTGCTAATTTAGGATGTGCCTCTCTGCTTGGTTCTTTCAAGGAAAAATCTTTTAAGTCTTTACTGTTATTTATGATCTCCCACCCTTTCAGATCACCTCCTCAGAAGACTTAAAGTTCATCCACTTGCTACATGTGTAACACCATCAAATGACACATTACTCCCTCAGTAATTCCCTTCTGTATACCTTCCAATTTGTGTATGCCACTCCTAAAATGTGACACCCAAAATGGAATGCAAAATGCAGGGTTATTCACATAAGGACAGACACAGATACAATTTTATGAGTTAATGAAGCAATGGAGGCATATATGTTAAAAGCAATGGAAATAATGTTGCAGAGGCATAAGATGCAAAATTATATTTTAAATTTGCCCATCTTTTCATTTAAAATTTCAAAGAGCATACTAGATTTTAAAATGCCAAAAAAAAAAAATCCCTATACATTTTACAGTCAGTTTTGGTATTAGTTTTATCTACATGCATAGTTGTGAGAAAAAGAAATCCCTATTACTTACTGTTGCTATGCAAATGTATTTTTAAAAAATCAATGAAGAATGATTCGAAGGGCAGGGCCAGAACTAAAAAAAAGTAACAAAAATTAAAAGTAAATGTGCTTTCAAATGAACTATAATGCTGTAGTGGGGGAGGCAAGAAAATTATCAGTCAGTGAACATGAAAATTTATGTAACTGAAACATGTCTCAGTCTGAAAACTGCTTCATAAACTATGTGTTATCATATACAGTGAAATCATTAACTTGTAAAATAGCAAAAAGAATAAAATATACTAAAAAAAACTGGAGTTCTTATAGTCCTGAATCTAACCAAATTGTTTGCCTTCCTAGAGTCTGAAAAAAAAAAAAAAAGCACCTAGCACCAAGTATTTTAAAGATCAAATGATAGAATACATAGGAAGTTAAAAGAGAGAATAGGATATGGAAGCATGCTAGAAGCATAAAGCACTATATAATTTAAGATATTAAAATAATTGGTATTTATGCATTAACAGTTCTACAATAATAGAAATTTAATTTTTAGATGTTTTGCACGAGGTATATGGAATGATCTTCAGTGTCTCTGAATTCTTTGAGTTTATTCAGGCCCAATTACTATCATATAATCACTAATTTTCAATATTTAGCTTTACCATACCATACATCTTTTTTCACATACAAATAGCTGTAAAAAGAAGAGAAGTGAAAAGCAAAAGAGAAAAGGAAAGATATACCCATTTGAATGCAGAGTTCCAAAGAATAACAAGGAGAAATAAGAAAGCCTTCCTCAGTGATGAATGCAAAGAAATAGGGGAAAACAAGAGAATAGGAAAGAATAGAGATCTCTTCAAGAAAATTAGAAATGCAAAAGATATTAAGAAGAGGTGGCAAGAATACTCAGAAGAACTATACAAAAAAGATCTTCACAACCCAGAGAATCACGATGGTGTGATCACTCACCTAGAGCCAGACATCCTGGAATGTGAAGTCAAGTGGGCCTTAGGAAGTATCACTACGAACAAAGCTAGTGGAGGTGATGGAATTCCAGTTGAGCTGTTTAAAATCCTAAAAGATGATGCTCTGAAAGTGATGCACTCAGTATGTCAGCAAATTTGGAAAACTCAGCAGTGGCCACAACTGGAAAAGTCAGTTTTCATTCCAATCCCAAAGAAAGGCAATGCCAAAGAACGCTCAAACTACCACACAATTGCACTCATTTCACATGTTAGTAAAGTAATGCTCAAAATTCTCCAAGCCAGGCTGTAGCAATATGTGAACCGTGAACTTCCAGATGTTCAAGCTGGTTTTAGAAAAGGCAGAACCAGAGATCAAACTGCCAACATTCACTGGATCATAGAAAAAGCAAGAGAGTTCCAGAAAAATATCTATTTCTGCTTTATTGACTATGCCAAAGCCTTTGACTGTGTGGATCACAGTAAACTGTGGAAAATTCTGAAAGAGATGGGAATACCAGACCACCTGATGTTCTTCTTGAGAAATCTGTATGCAGGTCAGGAAGCAGCAGTTAGAACTGGACATGGAACAACAGACTTGTTCTAAATGGGAAAAGGAGTGCGTCAAGGCTGTATACTGTCACCCTGCTTATTTAACTTATATGCAGAGTACATCATGAGAAACACTGGGCTGGATGAAGCACAAACTGGAATCAAAATTTCTGGGAGAAATATCGATAACCTCAGATATGCAGATGACACCACCCTTATGGCAGAAAGTAAGAAGAACTAAAGAGCCTCTTGAAAGTGAAAGAGGAGAGTGAAAAAGCTGGCTTAAAGCTCAACATTCAGAAAACTAAGATCATGGCATCTGGTTCCGTCACTTCATGGCAAATAGATGGGGAGATGGTGGAAGCAGTGACAGACTTTATTTTGGGGGGCTCCAAAATCATTGCAGATGGTGACTGCAGCCATGAAATTAAAAGAGGCTTACTCCTTGGAAGGAAAGTTATGACCAACCTAGACAGCATATAAAAAGCAGAGACATTACTTTGTCAACAAAGGTCCGTCTAGTCAAGGCTATGGTTTTTCCAGTGGTCATGTATGGATGTGAGAGCTGGACTATAAAGAAAGTTGAGCGCCGAAGAATTGATGCTTTTTAACTGTGGTGCTGGTGAAGGCTCTTGAGTCCCTTGGACTGCAAGGAGATCCAACCAGTCTACCCTAAAGGAAATCAGTCCTGGGTGTTCATTGGAAGGACTGATGTTGAAGCTGAAACTCCAATATTTTGGCCACCTCATGCGAAGAGTTGACTTATTGGAAAAGACCCTGATGCTGGGAAAGATTGAAGGCAGGAGGAGAAGGGGACGACAGAGAATGAGATGTTTAGATGGTATCACTGACTCAATGGACATGAGTTTGGGTAAACTCCGGGAGCTGGTGATGGACAGGGAGGCCTGGTGTGCTGTGGTTCATGGGGTCACAAAGAGTCGGACACGACTGAGCGATTGAACTTACTGATATCTCACACAAAAATTCAACGTTTTCACTGAAATGAAACACCAATCTACCTTTTCCATTCTAAATTATTTCCTTGTGATATTAGCTTCAAGAAAAGTTTCATATACGATATTAGGCTAGAATGAAAGTATTTCTGATATTACAGCCAATGCACATCACTATTCAAATACAGAAACTCCTGTGTTCAAAAGGACAACTGGAATCAGACCCATGATATAAGTGTATACTTTATCCTATAGTTAACCAAATCGTCATGTTCATTTCAATGAAGAGCAGTATTTATTTATAAATACTGTATTAGCTGGTAACCAAGAAATGATTATTTTGTGTCAAAAACTACTATAATGTAGCTAAACGAAAATGGCTCCATCAAAATGCTTTTGTGCAATAATCATCTCTAACCTTACTCCATATTCCCAACTTCACCCCAACTACAAGAAATGCCCACTATATTTATTAGTTAATATTTGCATTTTAAAAGCTGATCTATATTACTTGTTAAATCTGAGACAAGTTATTACTTGAATTAAGAGTTAAGATTTCAGTCCTACCCTCCAAGTCATCTAATATAAAGGAAGTTAAAGAGGTTTGCAATAATAAAAACAAAATATGTATAGATGACACTTAAAGGTCTATGTGTGCATCCTGTTTGATAAAACAATAAATTCAGTCAATGTGTTTATAAAATCATAAAATATTATGACTATATACATACACATGACAAAACTGAGCCTTTTATAAATATTTTTGGTTGAATGTAATATATGTTTGCGATTTAGTAAGTAAATTTATTACATCCAGCTGAACCAATGAATGAGACATATGCAATGAAATAGTTTCAAACTTTTGGTATTCCACATATTGTGAAAATACCAAGCAAAGAAAAACTGTAATTAGTAAAGTTTGTAATTTGAGCAAAAATAGTAAAATATTTTTTTAACGCTTTAATTTTTGCCTCATTTTAATTTATTACCTTGGTTTGTTTGGGGCAAGCTGTCGACTTGGCCGTCGAATAGACTGGTTTTGTTGTATTTTCATTGACGTTCTAGGAGATGACCGTGCAAAAGGGTCTGGAGCTGGAGGCTTTTTAGGTATCTTTTTCACTAACCGACTCACCCACTTTTGCTGCTCTTCTGTAGAATTTGCTAATAACAATAGATTCTTTGCAGATGAAATATCATAATACACTATAAAGAAATATTTGAGAAAAATTAATGTTTAAAATGATCTGAACGTAAGTAATATTAATTGAACAAGTGATTTATTATTTACCTTTGCAAGGTGCTATGATTTCCTCCTTTTTGTCCATGTGATCTTTATGACATTTAATATGACAGCGACGGCACTCTAAAGCAGGAGGGGGTTTAAACATGTGCCACAATGGCTTCATACACGCCTCACAGTTGGTTGGGAAATGATAGAGAGTAGGAATAAATTCATGTCCCTTGTGGCAAATATAATTTGATTTTTCTCCCACTGGCTCCACTGGAAATTCTTGTTCCTTCTTACTTTCTCCTTCATTGGCATACAGAATCTATAAACACCATAAAGAAAATGAGTATCTTCAAACGTTAGCTATTTTAATGTAGTAATAATTCTTATAGTATAAATAAAATTAGTCTAAACTATTCAATGAGACAAAAATGCATTTGTTGTTCAAATGGTAGTAGGTTGTAATCAAGAGCTCAGATGAGTAAAGTCACTAGCCAGTCAATGTGGTTCACATCTCAAAAGAATCAATCCTGTTCAAATGATGCCTCCTAATTTTCTCCATGTTATCTTCCTATGTTTCAGCAAATTTTTCACAATAGGCTAGCCAAAGATAAATCTTCACTTGATTAGTGTTAGAAAGCTTTTCTTGGAGGGAATTTTCCAAACAATCACCTGAAGAGATGAACTGTGGCTCTATAATTCTTAAAAACAGACCACTCAGTGATAACTGCAAATATAGTTTTAATTGAAAAGATTTGTATTTGGAGAATTGAGGAAAAAAGGAAAAGAGGAAAGGATGTATAAGATATTTCAAACAAACCTGCTAAGTACCCAGAAAATAAGCTGCCAGCTTCCCTACAGTACACCAAGCACTACAGCTTTTACTGGAAAGGATTCATGGTTGGTGTGACTAATTTCAAAATGGAAGAAATAAAGGGAAGAATTTGGCTTCACCTTAAATTGGAAGTAAAAGCGTTCTTGGGTGCAAAATTTAACTTCACAAGCAACTTTTTTAACTTTCTAGAGCACTGAACATAAAACCAAAACAGAACATTCATGCTCAAAAAATGCTGTAACCAACAAGGATCCCAAAGTCGGTACTCTGTGACAACCGAGAAGGGCGGGATGGGGAGCGAGGTTCAGGAGGGAGGGGACGTATGTATACCTATGGTTGATTCATGTTGATGTATGGCAGAAATCATCACAATACTGTAAATAATTATCCTCCAACTAAAAATAAAAATTTTAAAACAATGTCATAACCAACCTTGAACAAAAGGATAGCAAAGGCTAGAAACATGATATAAATACACTACAGACTACAGACTTTAACAAGTAAGATGGAGAGAAGAATTTAAGATGTATCCAATAGGATAAGCATGAAAGTCACAAATGAACAAACCATCTCTAAATGGGACAAAAATTGAAGAAAGATAATCTGAAAAAGGCCCAAGAATAAAGAAATTCGTTATGTCATGTCATGCTGAGAATGTATAAAGGCGAAAAGAATAAAACAAAATAAACAAACCACAAAATAAAACCATTTACCTGGAATATCCTTGGAATTTCTTTAGCATCTGCTCTATATACATCTGTCTGTGTAACTGGTCGGACATGAAATAACTTGCTATAAAAGATTTTTTAAAAAAGAGTAATGTATTACCAAAAGATCAGATTTTCTTATACTCATGTCAGAAATTAAAACTGACTACTCTGACTCTGGGAAATGGCAAAGGACAGGGAAGCCTGGTGTGCTGCAGCTCATGGGGTTGCAAAGAGTCAGACACGACTGAGCAACTGAACAACTCTGACTCTTATTAGAATGTTAGAGCTCTAGAAATTCAATTACTCCTTGAGATTTTGAGAAATTTTCAGTAAGTCAGAAATTTTCTAATTAGTTTCAGAAAACAACATATTGAAGGCTCATGAAATAGAGACATTTTAGCAAACTCTATATGCCAAACTTTCATCTGTATGAAGCAAATATAAGAAAATCTAACAACAGTATAATAGCACTTACACTATACGAGAATATACATGTACTATATGACTAATAAATTACACTAACTTGACAAAAGGTCACACTACTCTCTTAAACTTTAAAAGATAAAGTTACAAAATATTCTCATGGTTGGATGGCATCACCAACTCAACAGATATGAGCGTGAGCCAACTCCGGGAGATGGTGAAGGACAGGGAAGCCTAGTGTGCTGCAGTCCATGGGGCACAGAAAGTCAGACACGACCTAGCAACTGAACAACAATAACAAATATTCTAATAAAAATACTTACTCTATATCTAAAACCATGTAAGGATTAGATTGTTCTTTATCTTGTTCACTGTCATAGAAAAGGATCTTCTTACTGCTTACAATCACATACTGTTAAAAATGAGGAAACGAATTAAACAATGATTAAAGTTAATATCTATCTTGTTTTTCTTTGAAAATAAATTCTATATTAGCAATAAAAATCATATAAAATATATGTTATATACCTAAAAAGCTATCTTAATGTATCCTTAAAAAAAGTCTTCCTTAAAATAAGAACAGATCTGTTTGTATACATTTTAAAACAAATTGCGGGGTGGGGGGGGGGGACAAATTCAACTAATTTTTGGACTGATTTAGCTCTAAGATCCAAAAGCATAAGCAGCCTTATTGATATGGTTTGAATGGTTATATTCTCCCAAATTCATATGTTAATGAATTTACATCATAACCTAACGTGATGATATTAGGAAGTGGGGTCTTGGGAAGGTAATTAGGTCATCACACTAGAGACGTCATGAAGGGGATTAGTGCCCTTATAAAGGGGATTCCAGAAAAATTCCTACCCCTTCCACCATGAGGACAGAGCAAGAAGTCTGCAACCTGGAAAAAGACCTTTACCAGAACCCAGTCATGCTGGCCGATTCTTTATCTTGGACTTCCAGTCTCCAGAACCGTGAGAAATAAATCTTTGTTTTTCATAAGCTACTCAGTTTGTGGTATTTTGTTATAGCAGCCCTGAACCTAAGATACTTATCGAATATGAACATAATATCAATAATCATAGTAATAGAGGAAAAGAAATATCTGGGACTTTCTGTCATATCTAGAGTTGTTTTCCTGGAAACAGCAAAAGCACCAAGGTCAATACAGCCTTCTATTTTCCTAACACCAAAATCTGTTTTATTATTAACAACATGTTAACAATGAAAAGTTTCTTTTTTTTAAACGAAGATATATAAAATTAATTATTCCAAATCACAAAGTACAAACAAGTTTTATGTGTCTAAAAGTTCTGGTTATCTATATCTTACAATTACAAAAGTGAAATGGCTATAGCTAAACCAAAAGTAAAACAGAAGACCTTGATTCAAATGTATCAAGGTACTGATTCAAAAGTATTCAAGGTATTGACTAAAAATCAAGTATTGATTCAAAAGTATCAATTACCTTTTTAACCCATCCAAATTTCTTAGTGTTGTTTCTCACAGGCAATGAAAGCCATCCTTCTAGTCTTGATTCTATAAGCACAAGATATGAGTGTAAGTACAACAAATCTCTTAAGAAAATGAGGAAATTAACAAAATTTTAATATAAAAGTCACAGGCAAATATGCCCTTCAGAATTTATACACCATCTAACATATAATAATAATGTAGGATCAGTATAAGCAAGTTATACAATGCAAAATGAAATCCAGGTTATATCATATTGGAAATATATATCTTGTAGTTTATAAGGTCAAATGCCCCATTAATTAAATTCATGCATTTGCAAAGTTCCGCAGAAAAGTTGCAAAAATGAAAAGCAGCTGTCTGTCTATTCTCATTAGTATACCTGTATCAGAATCCTCTATCTTTCCTTTGGAAGAAAGCCTAACTACAGATATAGTACACAATTTTGAAGACAAAATATTTTCTGTGAGTAATTAACTGTTCAGAGAAAATGGACTGTTAGAATGGTTTTAAATAAAATGAAGTAAAACTGTAAATTACAGATCAAATCTGGCTAATAAGTAGCAGTAAGTCAAAAGATTCCTAAATTTTAAAATAGTAAAATCAGTAAAATTCTAGTTCAGCCAAGAAAACTCTGCATCCTTAGAATCTGTTCTAATGGTATCTGATCAGTTTATTTTAGTGAAATAATTACACAAAGTAAGCATTTTTGGAGGTTATGCTAATAATAAAAGTAGCTATCACCTACTTTGTGTCTGAACTGTGCTGGACACCTTATATAAATTTTCTTCAACTCTCAGAACAATCCCACAGGTCACACAGGGACACATCTCTGATCCAGTGCTTATACTCGCTCCCTCCCTCTCTCACATTAACAACCTTCCAGACCCCATGAACAGAAATGATGTCATTAAATACAGCTATATACTCGAATGTCTGGACATGGCCCTACACCAATTTAAGGAATTAATCAGATGATCTCTAACAATATGGGTAAGACTGAAATAATTTTATTGCTAAGATCTGAAACAACTTCAATATAATCACTTATGATTTATACTGATATATACCTGGGAAGTGTGATGACAATGTAAATAAATATAGCAAATTTACACTGAATTCAACCAATAGATTAAATTTTATTTTACATCCAACTGTTTATGCACTAATTTCCTGTGGTGTTCACTTTAAACGTTTTTTATACTTACATTAACTTTGCATTAAACATAACAATTTTTGGGGTTTTCCAACTGGTTTCTTCATTTAAACTATAATTCCTTTCAGGACAAGGATCAGGTCAAACTGTCTTATACTTTTTTTTAAGGCCTAGTACAATGTTGGCTGGTCTTCCTGGTGGCTCAGACAGTAAAGAATCTCCCTGCAATGCAGGAGATCCAGGTTTGACTGCTCGGTGGGGAAGATCCCCTGGAGAAGGGAAGGGCAACTCACTCCAGTATACTTGCCTGGGGATCCCATGGACAGAGCCTGGAGGGCTACAGTCCATGGGGTCAAAAAGAGTCTAACACAACTGAGCGATTAACACTTTTCACTTTCACAATGTAGACTAAGTAAGCACTTAAGGGAAACCTAAATATACCCTCTAAAACGGTCTACACATGCTTTTTCTGTACCATCATTCTTCATACGAAACTTCAGAAAGAATTTCTTCTTGGTTAAAAATGGAAGAAACAGACAGTGAAACCATATGTTCTTAAATGATATAAAGCACTACTCCATTTCTTATAAGCTTACAAAACAAATTCTATCAATTGTAATAGCAATGCGAAGCGAAATTCCTTAAAAAACAAAATCTTTATTCATGCAGCAGTTTCTTTTTAACTGAGACTTGTTAATGGAGCAACTTGTTAGAGTTAGTCAATATTAGTTATTATTACAAAAATTTTCAAAGGACTAAAATATGGGTAGTGGGAAAAAAAACCCAGAGGTCAAGGATTTTCAGGGTGTCACCTGTACCATTAGGTTCCGATGAAATAGGTAAGTAAGGAACAGATTCTTCTTCTGAGTCAGAGTCAGAGTCAAGAAGCATATGAGAACTGGAAGGCTTAGTGGCAATATTGAGAGAAGTGGAGGAACGCTGGTAGGTGAATGACATGGATTCCATAGTGTGTGACTGAGTGATATGAACTAAACACCCAACATAAAAGGAAGTAAGAATGCAGAAAAAAGAAAAAATACAAATGAAAGCTTAAAAGGAGAGCTATGAATAATATACAAAGAGTTAATTTAAATAACTAAATATGTGAAATTTACGCTTGCATTTTTTAATAAAAAGTTTTGTGAAAAATCAATAAATAAAATAATTTAAACTGTCATCTGAACCCCTACTCTAAGGAGTAGGTGTTCCCTTAAAGAAATGACAAATATTTTTCCTCAAGAGCAAAGTCAGTTACAGGACTTAAAACCATCAACTGATTTATATTTAAGACAAAAGTAAATGTAAGGGCTGAATGAATCTATACCTGGAAACCCATCATCAGCTTCAGTATCCCCTGGTCCACTGCCTATACTGGAACTATCCAAACCAATGTGCAAGGCCTGGAGCTGGGAGCGCAGCTGCTCAATGTCACTGTCCTTACTGTCCAGTGTCATCTGGAGTTCAATTCGAATCTGACTCTCTTCAGCTATTTGCTACAAGAAATTGAATTACATTAAATTAATTGAATGTCATACATCTTATAATTTTGCTTCCTAGTTCAGTAATATGGCAGTCTCTCCTTATACAAGGTTTCACTTTCTGTGTTTTCAATTATCCAAGGTCAACTGCAGTATGAAAATATCAAATGGAAAATTTCAGAAATAAGCAGTCTCTAAGTTTTGAATCATGTGCTGTTCTAAGCAGTATGATGAACTCTCACATTGCTTGGTTCTACTTGTCTGGGATATTAATTATCCCTTTGTCCAGTTTATTCACACTGTATATGCTACCCCAGTCCTTACAGTACAGGAAAATATATAGTAGGTATATAGTTCAGTAGTATCTGTGGCTTCAGGCATTCACTGGGGATCCTGGAACATAGTCCTCTTGCATAAGGGGAGACTACTGTAATTATTAATAGAAATGTTCCATAACCTATAAAATATATGCAGACATGAAAATAATTCTACTTCTTAAAACGAAGTGTTCAAAAAGTATTCTTACAGCCTGCATTTCATTCAGTTCTTTCTGATACTTGATCATCTGCTGGGTCAGTTTTTCGCGTTCAGATTTAAGTTCCATATGTAGCTTTCTATTCTCCTTTTCTTTTCTCCGCACATCTGTGTCATTACCACGCTTAACAGGTTCCTTTCGATTCATGATCTCAGCCAACTTATTCACAGCCTTAAAAACATAAAAATAAGGATGTAAATAAATTATGTTGATGATTTCTTGGTAACTCACCAATAGCACATTACAAAATCTTCCCTACACAAAGGGCCACAAAGAAATACCTTTTATACTAAAAAAAAATACACCTTCATCATTATTCATCATCCTTTTCCAACCAACACTGTTTTTCACTCTCATGTTTTCTGAGAACTATAATTTAAAATGTTTATAGGTTCACTCTAATCTCATTTTCTACCACTTGGGAGGCAGATCTTTTATTCTAGAAGAGAGTTTTCCACTAGCATCACACTGATAAAATAAATGTCCAACCACAGAGCAGAGCGTCTTGGACCCACCAGGACTCATGTTGTATATACAATCTGAGAGCTGAGAAAAGGGTAGTTAATAATCACGATGCCTTTTCAGAGTGACCCTTTTTTAGGCTGTCAGCAAATGGTCCTTCTCTACCATTTCTTAAAAGCAGAAAAATTTACCAGATTACAATAAAAAAATTAGGAGGGATTATGACTCCATATGGAAAAATTAAGAGAAACTTAATAAACATTGAACTCAACAATGTTAATCAAATCTAGTTTCTCTCAATGTGGTAAAAAACTGGATAATCCTCATGGTTCACACATACTGGTACCATTAATGACTGCTACAGCCAATCTGTAATGTTAGAAGAAAATGCAAGAAAGATAAACTAAGAAAAATTTCAAAATCATATTTAGAGCTTATTATATACACACTTGAGTTTTAAGTGTCCTCTCTGTTAACAGCTGCTTCTCAAATTGTGCTTTAATAGCTGCTGCACTTATTTCTTCATCTTTCAACCTTGATAGTTCTAAAACAGAAAAATGTAAAAATTATATTAATAGTTTAGCAACTGGTAAACATTAGGCATACTGAAAATAAATTTTATTCTTTGTTAATACATACGCTCTTGGGCTTCTTTCAATTTGTTATTTAATTCTTCTTTCTCATTTGCAAGATTGGCAACATCACTAGTTAGTGTCCTATTAGTTTCCTCAAGCTAAGAAATGAAAATGGAAACAAAATTTATATCTTAATTTATAAAATTTTAAGTTATAAAGCAGTAATTCAAAATGAAAACATCCTAGAATGTTGCTAAAACTCTTGTTTTTCTAAGTACATCTATCTCTACAGTTCTTGCTTTTGTCCTACCTTACCAAACTTCAAAATTGATGAAAATTTACGAAACGTTAACACACTTCATATATACCCCAGGAAGCCAAAAATTTGCCCCCTTTCAAAAATCTTTAGTAGTATTTTAAATGGAAGTAACAGTTAGTAAACTAAAAAAAAAAGCAAATACTATAACAAAGCTCTGCATTCCAGCATGCAGAATAAATAAAATTTAAAACTATAGTTATAAAACATTGTTTTAAAACAGAAAATAAAATTTTACTAAAGAAGTTGACATTCTTTGGAATTCTTGCCAAAGCCTATTCTTCTTCCTTCCTGAAGCAAATTTTATTGTGAATTATGTGTTCATCCTTCCCATCCATGATTGTACACTTTCATTACACACATGTGAAACAATATAATACAGTTTTATGTGATTTTCAACTGCCTATAAATAGCATGATGCTGTTATTTTTCTGTAACTGCTTTCATTCATTAGATTAAGAATGAAATTGTCGATATATATAATTAATTTTAACTGATGTAGTAGTTCTAGCTTCTACTGCATTTCATTTATTGATTCACTCATCTATTAATATATTTGAATTTTTGCTATTACAAACATTTATGCTGCTAGGAGTAGTATGTCTGAATTTCTCTAGCACATTTATCTTATTATGAACTTTGTTTGGATTATACGAATATTTAAAATTTACTGGAACTTGCAATATTATTTACTATACTGTAGTATGCTATATTAAATTTATACTCTGGATATTAGTAAGAAAAACATCATTTTCCACACATCCTTCAAACATTTCAAAGTAGTCAGACACTGAGTTTTTGCCAACATGATGGCTATGAAATGGTAATACAAAATTATTTTAGCTAGCCTTTTCCTAAAATAATAGTGAAGTTAAACACTCGCTCATATTTTTAGGTTTTCTCTTTTGGCCAATTTTTCCTTTGGATTATTTAGCTTTTTCTTACTGAATAGTAGGCGTTCCACTTATATTCTAGATACTAATCACTTGTTTAATAAATACAAGTATTTTCCCTGTTGTTTACTTATTTTCTGTTACAAGTAAATGTTAAATTTCATTCTAATATTTAAAAATTTTTATTTTACATATTTAGGTTCTTAAGATAGCTAGAATTTACTGTTATATATGGTAAATGATAATAAGAATCTAATTTTATTCCTTTCCACATAAAAACATAGTCATTTCAAAACCATGTATTAAATCTGTATCCTCTCCCACTGATTCGTGTGTTGCCACTGACGTCATATGCCAAGTTCTCCTATGTGCATCAGTCTATTTCTGGTCTCCGTACTCACTTTCACTGAACAGGATTAAATATCCCTGTTCTAATGCCATGCTTTAAAATTACTGTAACATTTTTAATAGATCTGGACAATTGATAAGGCTAACTCAACTACTTGATATTTTACTTCTATCTCAAATTTTTATTACAATTATTTTCAACCTACATATGGTTATCTTTATGATTAAACTAATCTTCATGATTAATTTCAAATTCTCTTAAACTACAATTGATTTAACAGGAAAAAAAAGACTTAAACTGTTTTGTACTTTTGGTATTTTCTTTTCACTTTAGTCCTTAACCCTGAATTTACCAACAGGTGAAGCCACTGGAAGTTGTGTTTTGGGGGGGCCCTCTCTGTGCCAAACAAAATTGAGAAGCTGATGGTTCACGAGCTCAAATATCTTGTAGCCAAAACATACAATTTTTCATTTTGATTTATGTTACTTTCCTAGTATTTCTAAATCAAGATTTATAACAATTTAATTATAGCCAAAAATGAACCAAGGTCTTTACTTACAGACGCAATAGTAGCATCTTTTTCAGTGAGTTCCTGTTTGTGCCGAGCCATCATCTCTTTGATCTCCAGCTCTTTCATGATCTTCTCTTTTTCCAAATCAGAATACTGCTCCTCAGCAATTGAACGAGCCAGTTGCTCAGAATCTGCTTTGGTTAAGGTAATCTCCAGTTGAGCAGCCAAGGAATCCCTAGGTTTAAGAGAAATAAAATTTTAATGTTCAATTTTTTATTACAAAGTTGAAGTTTTTGTCTAATTAACCATCAGATCAGTCAGTTCAGTTCAGTCACTCAGTTGTGTCGGACTCTTTGTGACCTCATGGACTGCAGCACGCCAGGCCTCCCTGTCCATCACCAACTCCCGGAGCTTACTCAAACTCAAGTCCATCGAGTTGGTGATGCCATCCAGCCATCTCATCCTCTGCCATCCCCTTCTCCTCCTGCCTTCAATCTTTCCCAGCATCAGGGTCTTTTCCAATGAGTCAGTTCTTCACATCAGGTGGCCAAAGTAATGGAGCTACAGCTTCAGCATCCATCTTTCCAATGAATATTCAGGACTGATTTCCTTGAGGACTGACTGGTTGGATCTCCCAGCAGTACAAGGGATTCTCAAGAGTCTCCTCTGACACCACAGTTCAAAAGCTCAATTCTTCAGTGCTCAACTTTCTTTATAGTCCAACTCTCACATCCATACATGACTACTGGAAAACTCACAGCCTTGACTAGACGGACCTCTGTTGGCAAAGTAATGTCTCTATTTTTTAATATGCTGTCTAGGTTGGTAATAGTTCTTCTTCCAAGGAGCAAATGTTTTTAAATTTCATGGCTGCAGTCACCATCTGCAGTGATTTTGGAGCCCCAAACAATAAAATTTGTCACGATTTCCATTTTTTTCCCATCTATTTGCCATGAAGTGATGGGACCAGATGTCATGATCTTAGTTTTCTGAATGTTGAGCTTTAAGCCAACTTTTTCACTCTCCTCTTTCACTTTCATCAAGAGACTCTTCAGTTCTTCTTCATTTTTCCACCATAAGGGTGGTGTCATCTGCATTATCTGAGGTTATTGCTATTTCTCCCGGCAACCTTGATTCCAGCGTGTGCTTCATACAGTCCAGGATTTCTCATGATGTATTTGCATATAAATTAAATAAGCAGGGTGACAATATACAGCCTTGACGTACTCCTTTCCTGATTTGGAACCAGTCTGTTGTTCCATGTCCGGTTCTAACTGTTGCTTCTTGACCTTCATTTGGATTTCTCAGGAGGCAGGTAAGGTGGACTGGTATTCCCATCTCTTTCAGAATTTTTCAGTTTGTTATGAACCACACAGTCAAAGGATTTTGCATAGTCAATAAAGCAGAAATAGATGTTTTTCTGGAACTCTCTTGTTTTTTCGATGATCCAGTGGATGTTGGCAAGTTGATCTCTGGTTCCTCTACCTTTTCTAAATCCAGCTTGAACATCTCACGTTCACGGCTCATGTACTGTTGAAGCCTGGCTTGGAGAATTTAGAGCATTACTTTGCAAGCGTGTGAAATGAGTGCAACTGTGCAGTAATTTGAACATTCTTTGGCATTGTCTTTCTTTGGGATTGGAATGAAAACTGATCTCTTCTAGTCCTGTGGCCACTGCTGAGTTTTCCAAATACACTGGCATATGTAGTGTAGCACTTAACAGCATCATCTTTTAGGATCTGAAAAAGCTCAGCTGGAATTCCATCACCTCCCCTAGCTTTGTTGGTAGTGAGCTTCCTAAGGCCCACTGGACTTTGCATTCCAGGATGTCTGGCTCTAGTTGAGTGATCATACCATAGTGGTTATCTAGGTCATGAAGATCTTTTTTGTATAGTTCTTCTGTGTATTCTTGCCAACTTTTCTTACTATCTTCTGCTTTTTATTAACTTCATCAGCAAATTTTATTTAGAGTTCCCTGGTGGTTCAGATAGTAAAGAATCAGCCTGCCAATGCAGGTGACCTGGGTTCAGATCGGGAAGATCCTCTGGAGAAGGGAATGGCAACCCACTCCAGTATTTTTGCCTGGAGAATTCCATGGCCAAAGGAGCCTGGCAGGCTACAATCAATGGGGTTGCAAAAAGTTGGGCATGACTAAGTGACTAACACACACACAGGCACTTTCTAGGAGTAGGGTACATGGCTTTGAACAGAGATAAGGATCTTATCCTCACCTTTCATCCTGTAATTCCTGTTTCTTCTGCTGTAATTCTTTACAAAGTTTGGTCTTTTCTTCACATTCTTCCTTAAGTTCCCTAACCTGTGTTTTATAGAGGGTCTAAATAGCAAAATAAAATAGAAACATGTATCATCATTGTTACAAATATTCAAAAGCTATCCAGACAAAAAGTTCAGTTGAGCACTACCTAGTAGGCTCATAAAACTGAGTAATGTTGAGCCCATGAGCAAAGTGATAGTTCAATGAGATTTTCTATTTTCTGGTAATCAACCCAATTAACTAATAAAACTTCAGCTAATAATTTACAAGTGTGATTTTCAACTGGATAGCCTAGTGAAATTTCTGATTAAATGTCACATTGGTAGGATGAAGAGGCAAAGAAAAATATTATCAATTTATTCAAGAAAATTTTGCTGGCTTAAAAATCAATGAAACAGAGATGACAGTTACTATTTCATATTTTAAAACTCAAAAGAGGGCAAATGTTAAAATAACAATCTTATTTCTTTCATTATACAAATATATTCTTCCTCAAAAATCAATGCTTTTTGAAATGAACTTCATATGGTGCGGGTATGTGCTTACTACTTTTTTTTTGAAATGATAATGAATTTTCTGTTAGACTATCTACAGTCTCTTGACCCGGTATTCCTTTTACAGGTGTATGGTATAAAACATTCATCCAAAATTCTCTCTGGGGTTTGCTATAAGAATTTAAAGAATTAGTCTCCTGGCAAAAAAAATTTTTACTAATTCTACAAATGCAATTATTTTCAAAGTAATATGTCTGGACTTACTGAGAAATACTGTTCTGCTTCAAGCTGATCCTGGAGCTCTTTCATTTGTCCATCTGCATCTTGACGTTCTCTGTGGAGACATTGGTTAGACATATATTAAGCCAGCAACTCTTGAAATGTGGTCTAGAAAACCTCTGGGAGTACCTAAGACCCTTCCAGAAAATCCACGAGGTAGAATTATTTTCATAATACTAAGAATCATGGCTATTTTTAAAGCTTTAAAATTCTTTCCATGTATATACATTTTCATGAGGCTGCATGACATATGAGGATTTTATTATTCCAACAGCTGATGAAACGTGTGCATGTATGCTCCTGTGTTTCTAAATTTTCTCAGTTTCAATTTTTAACACAATAAACAACATTAGATAAAATTCAAATAAACAAAAACTCTGTGGGGCCCTCAATAAATTTTTTAAGAGTGTAAGGCATTCTGAGACCAAATAGTGCTATATTAAACTAATAACACTGAATTATATTCTCAGACATGCATTGTGATCAGTGATTTATGCCAACCAAGCAGTAGAATTAAAGAGCACCTGAAAATCGATTATCTTAGAATGAGTGAAGAAATGACTGGGAGGGACCCTGCAGGGAGGTTAAGAGTACAGGTAAATGTAAATAGTAATTGCGCAGATTTCTGGTGGCTCAGTGGTAAAGAATCCACCGGTAATGCAGGAGATGCAAGTTCGATCCCTGGGTTGGAAAGATACCCTGGAGAAGGAAATGGCAACACAGCTCCAGTTATTCTTGTCTGGAAAATCCCATGGACAGAGGAGCCTGGTGGGCTACAGTCCATGGGTCGCAAAAGAGTTGGACACAACTTAGCAAACAAAGAACAACAAAATGTTAACTGCACAGATTTGAACACTTTATAAAAATTCAGAGTTTTATATTTATCATTTGTGTACTTTTTCTATATATATATCTTAATCTTCAGTAAAGAAAAAAGTTAAATAAAAAACAAACCTAGTAACACTTTTAAGATGTTGGAATGAAATAATAAGTCTAATAAGGCTTATTGACTTAATAAAGTTTAATGAAATAATAAGGCTTGTCAAAAAACCAAAATCATATATATATATATTATAGTTATTTCAAGTCAAAGCTAAGAAGAAAGAAAACAAGTTGGAGAACAATACATGATACAATTAAAAAACAAAAAACAACAACAACAAAATTCTACAAAAACTCAACCCTGTAAATAATATAGTACAGATATACAGGTATAGGCACAGAAAAAGGTATGGAAGGATATATTAAGATTATTAAGATATATTACTTCTGGAGAGATTAACCATGTCTGTATTCATAAAGGAGACCTTATATTTGTTTTCTCTTTTTCTTTTAATATAGTTCTAAATATTTTAAAGTGAGAAAATATTTTACTACCAGTTGGATATTTTAAAAATGTATATAGGTGGACTTCCCTGGCAGTTCAGTGATTAAGACTCCACACCTCCACTGCAGGGGCACAGGTTCTATTCCTAGTCAGGAAACTGAGATCCCACAGGCTGTGTGGCCAAATAAATTTGTAAATAAAAGTGTATAAAGCAAGAAAACCTCAGGGAGATTAAATGATTTAAGCACAGTGCCTTCAATTTCAATTTAATATTACTTAGAGAACTTCTATCCTTATTTTAATTTAATATAATCTGATCACTTTGTTTACTCACTGGTCCTTCAACTTCTGGATAAACAGGAAATTATCACCAAATGTCACTTCACTGTGTTAATTCTGTATTTTATTATTAATCGGTGTATTATTTTAAAAAGTATGATTCTTATTTCTCTGAGCCAAAGATGTGAAAGATGCTAATAACATATGAAAGAGCAAGTTTAAAAAATTTTAAATCATCACTAGCTAGGCTCACTTGCAGCAAACTCCAGTGTAATATTAATATCATGATCTTTTTGAAGAGCTACTGTTCATTATATGTAACTTTTAAAACCCAACATTTATTAGGTATTTAACAAAAGCTGTTTTTCAGAAAGTAATTATATAATATGCACATGGTTACAGTTAGATAGTACAGACTAGCACAGAAAAAATTACGAAAGGTCACAGTCTCCTTATCCATAACCATCCACGGGACAATCCTATTTCCCTAGAGGAAATCACTTTGTTTCATTTCTGTTTATTGTTCTTTTGTGGTTCCCACCACATCTCAGCTTATTCCTTAACATACATTTTAATTATTTACCAATTCCCTGCTGCCATATGTGAGAATTTAGCTCTTACCACCCCTAACCTCTCCCCAACCCCTAACACAGTTATATCACTGGTCTAAGTGACATAATCAGACCATTCATTTCCTATTGCATGAACCACAAACCACAACCTCCCCAGCTGGAGATAAGAACTGCAACAACTCCATTCTCTTATGTTTTTCAGATTTCATAAGATCATGTCTAAATATGAGTCTTTTCTCAAGTATCTTTGCTGGTCTTTTCAATATAAAGACTTCTTTTCCAATTATGAGAAATTCTTTTCTATTATTTCTTTAGTAACTTCCTTCCCTAAGATTCTCTGGAATTCCTTGTCTGGTGCTAGAACTCAGAATAAGCTAGTGTGTGTCTTAGCTTTTCTCTCATATATTCTATGTCATTTATTCTTGTTCTATATTTTGTGAAATAAAAAAAATTTTTTTTCTTCAAACTCTTCTAATAAATTTACATTGGCAATAATTTTTAACCTTCAAGAGCTCCTTCCTATTCTGTCTTTCCTTTTTATGTCAGGTTCATGTTTAATGGAAGTGGTATTTCCTAGAATCTTTGATCAGTACTAATTATACTACTAGTGACTAAATAGGGCAAATTTTAACAGTATATTTACTATATGCCTTAATTAAAAGTATTTTAACAATGTTTTTCTAAGTAAATTAAATATAGCACTAGAGAAAGTGTGTTGCTCAGTCGTGTCTGGCTCTTTGTGACCCCCAGGGACTATAGCCCTCCAGGCTCCTCTGTCCATGGAATTCTCCAGGCAAGAATACTGGAGTGGATTGCCATTTCCTTCTCTAGGGGATCTTCCTGACTCAGGGATATAGCACAAGAGTGTATCCTAAAATATGATTTAAAAATTTATATGGTGTTTGCTTAACAGTCAAACATTTCCAAGTCCCAGAAACTGAAGGAACAAACAAAAGACACTTCTGTTTGCGAGACAGTTCTGAGGAGGAATCTTAAGAGCGTGGGGTGCAAACCCCAGACCTTTTCTTCTTTAGCACAAACAATATACCATTATATCATAATGTGGCAGTAGTAAAAATTGTTGGGGAAGCAAATAAAATCTTTTTGAAGGACAACAGTGGCACTCAACACATCACTTAAACAGAAAGAGAAAAATGTGGTGAAGAAAACAAAGGGGTCAAAAGAAAACTCCCAGATAAGTAAAAATTAAGATAACTTACATGGAGATAGCTCTGTATATTAGTAAGTCTTTGTCTCAAACAATTAACTTACTTTCGAAGTTCAGCATTCTGTTTTTCCAAGCTCATTTTCATTTCTAGGAGATGATTATTCTCTTGCTTTAACTGCTTTTCTGACATTTTTAGTGTGTTAACTTGCTGTGTTTGCATTTTCAAGTCATTTTGTGTAAGGCAGCGCTTCTGAGTTTCCTGTTCTATTTTTAATGTCAAGTTTCTAACCTAAAAAATAGTGTTATTGGTATGTAAGCAAATTATTTTGATTTTCCCATCAATGAAGCTGGCAGTAAATATAACGATATAAAACAGATATTTTCCCCCTTAAACAGTTAATTCATTTCACAGTATTTTTTGGATTTTCCATAATAATATATTTTTAAAATATAATTAGTCTTCAAAGAAATTTTAATTATGATTCATTGAGTATATCATCCAAATCTGGTACAATTAAAAAATTACAGAATATTATTTTACAAGAAAAAATTTTAATTGTAAAACCATCATTGAACCTCTACAAATAAACCTAGTTTATTATTAATTAATTAAACAGTTCATTAAACAGTAAGCTGCACACTTACATCCTCATTTAGCACATCTTTCTGTTTGAGGAGTTCATTTATTTTCTGCTGTGACTGTTTGAGGTCACAGTCTAATATAGAGCATCTTTTCTCAGCCTCCAGCAACAAGTTCTCTACTTTTTGTTTTAAAGTTCTTTCCTCCAAGAGCTTTTTCTCCATTTCTATTGCCACAAAAATAGACATAATCATGAACCAAACAAAAAAAGCATATGAAATACATGACACAGTGCTAATAAAAATTGCAATAAATGATGCTGCCTCAAAATTGTTTTTAATTTCCAATTTAACATTTTCATTACTCCTCTTAATACAACTGAAATATCAACAATTTCATGCTTAAAAATTAAGTGTTATATTTGCAGGGTATAAAAATCTACCACATTCTGCAATATTATATTCATTTTAGTGAAAGCAGAATAATTCTGCCTTTATCACTTACCAAAGTTATATTAGGTAAAATTTAAACGTTATGAACTTTCAGTTTTTAATGAACTAGCTTCAAAAGTGTGGAAAAATGAAACGCTTTTCATATACTACTAAAAACAGCTAGCACTTCTAGGCACTTTTCATGTATCAATGCACCTGTTTTTCACAACCAAATATAGGAAATGTCCCTTTACAGGAAACTAGGCATAAAAGGGTAAGTAACTAGACAAGATCACATAGCTAGTAATTCACTGGTAAGCCATATTTTTACTCAAAGGAAGCAATGACATGCAGTAGAGAGACCAAAGGTTTTATACCATATTTGAGTACCATCTACAAAATTTAAGTTGTGTGCAGTCATGCAAAATATGAAAGTCATTTGTATGTTAGAGTTGTGATGAGAAATTTGAAAAAAAAGACAGTTGTTACTATGCTAAATTGGTTCATTTTCAACCGTTCTGAGAACAACCTATAAACAAATGTACTCATTTTATAAACTAATCACTGGAACATGGGTCTAGAGAACAGAAAGAGGCATGAGTAAACTCACTGAGATGAGGAAAATAGAGATTGTCTATCTTGTCTTGGGTGGTGATTACATGTGTGTTACAAATGTGAAAAATGTTTGCATTTTATAGCACCTAAATTATGATCTCAAAAGAAATTCAACTCTTGTCCCACTTTCTTCTTACCAGGTATTTCTAAATATAGCACTCATTTCATCTTTTATCATCTAAAATCAATGTCTTAAACTAAACTGCTTTTGACCAAAAAAAACCCTCCTATTTTAACTACATGCAATAATTAAAAGGCTATTTTTTTGCTAAGTTATTAATGTTATGGTTTAATATGAAATGAAATTTCTGTTTAAGAGTTTTACAAATCTTGATTTCTTTTGGAATTTCAAATCCATCATATATAAACAGTCAGTTTGGAAAACAAGTTATAATCTAAATGACAATTCCAAGATAACAGGCTTAGTTTGTGGAAAAGTTAACTTTGTTATCTTACCCTACACTCATTAGCTTTGTGTGACTCTGACTAAATACAGCTAGTATCTTCATCATGCCAGATTTCAAAATATTCAGTGAACTTACACAAACTTCAGGAAAGAATTTTTTAACATAAGCTGGTGAAATGTCAAGCTAATTATAAAAAGAGCATATCCCCCAAATCTGAACAAGTATATCTAGAATTTCACACTCTATATGCCTGCCACTATTGATACCACTGAAATATTCATTTCTCTGATCTAAAAATGTGGTTGAGAAATTTTGTGTTTGAGCCTTACTATCCTAGAAATGGTCATGGCCTTAAAGGGAGGGAAAAAAAAAAATATATACATATATATATAAAGTTTTCCTAATAGTTTTTAAAAATATTTTCCAAAATCAGAATTGAATACAGAATCAATTCTGTAAAATATTGCTGAAAATACTCTTATGAAAATGCGTACCTTTCATGGCTTCTGATTTAGCTTCTTCAATGGATTCATAAATCTTGTTTTTATCTGCAAGCCGTGCTTTTGTAGCCTTATGTTCAGTTTCTTCTTGTTCTAAACTTTGCTGTATAACTTTTAGTTGGTATGTCATATCTATTTCCATGTTGTTCTTTTCCTATTAAAGATTTAAATGGCAGCCATCAACAAAACAGACTGGCTCACAATTTCAAAAATTTCTTTACAGACTTCCTGTAAAAGTACACTATGTGCTGTTTCACTTGTTTGCTTCCCAATATACTTATCTCCCATATCTCCACTACTGTTTCAAGATCTTCACTGTGATTACTTGAGCTCAATAAAGTGATGAATGATACCTCATTATCAAATTCAACAAACCCCTTCAGTCATTTTTCATTTGAACTCACTGTTGCCCTTGAGACTATTTCCTTGATAGACTTGACCTCACTTGGCTCTCCCCATCCTTCTCTCATCTTTTCTGCTGTGTGTGAAGTTTTCTCCCAGCCACCTCTTAAATATTGGGTGTTCTCTGCAGGTAGCATTCTTTAGCCATAATGCTTCTCCTCTTTCTGTATTATTTCTCAAATTTTTAAAACATACCTAACATTCTCCTTGCTAGATCTTTGGCAGGGGCCGGGGGGGGGGGGAATACAGGATCCTCTACTACTCATCTTTATTTTCCACATGGAAAACATGTTTTAAGTCGAGAACCATTAATAGAAGTTAATTTTCTATATATCCTCAAAAGATTTTCTAATTCTTTGTTTCCTATAGTTTGTAACATAAATACAGACTTTTTTTTTTCAATAATGAAAATAATTTTTTTCAAACTACACAATCTATCAACAGAGTAGTTTACTCTGCTTTGAAAAACCACAGATCTAAGCAATCTCCTTCCAGATGGGTTCTTTCATTCGCATAGCTTGAGCTACTTCAATAACAATGACGATCAAATATTTCTAGCTGCTTACTACCATAGCTTACTTCTCTGTAGACATCCTAATTTGGTTGTTTCACCAGCACCTCAAGACTAAAATGGATGTATCATTGTCTCCTCTACTTCTCCTTCATTCTATATTAATTAAAGACACCACTACTATAGATTTTTGTCACAAACTAGGAACTCAAAACTCATTCTTAAGTACTATTCACATGCTACATTTAATCAATCAATCACTAAGTGTTCCCAAATACTCCTCCTTCAAATATTTCTCAGATTCATTCCTATTTTCCATCCTTTGAACTATTGTACTAGTTAAGTCTCCATTATCTGAGTTACTTTATCTGAAAAAGCCTCTGATTAATCTACCTACCTCATTTTGTCCTCCTCAAACCTAGTTTTCACATGGTACATAATAATGTATCTTAAATGAATCACTAATAAAATCACCCAACTTAAAAGCCCTTCAGTGGTTAGTCCATTTCTTAGAGCAATAAGTTTCTTAATAGAGTATTCAATATCTTGCATGGCCAATTTTAGCCTGATGTCTATTTTTGTAAAACTTCATTAGATCATAGCCATGCCTATTCCCTTTACTGAAGGAGAGACCATATGGCCTGCAAAATTTAAAATATTCACTCTTTCCCTTAAGAGTAAAATTTCTTGACCATCACTCTTTACTCTAGAAATACTGAATAGTTTATCCGTAAATACACTGACTATGAGTTTTTTATTTTCTATCCTCTGTGCCTGCACTCATGATGTCCTTCCCCGCTCGTAGTGCACCTTTACTTTGTCAGCCAATGCTGCCCTGTCAGATTAGGGGTTCATTCTGTGTACCCAAGATACCCTGCCCATACCTCTATCATTCTACTTACCACACTGCATTAGAATTATCTGTGTACTTTACTTTTACTTTAGAAATTACTTACTAGATGTGAGGTTGTTAAGGGCAAGAACTGCATCCTGATATTTCTACCACATTCGATACACTAAATACTTAAATGAATGAAAACAAAATATTATCTACACAGAGCCTAGAAATTATCCCTACTTATAGCACTTTTTGGTAAACTTCTACATGAAAAGTCATGATAATTTTACATCATTTTGAAGATATAATGTACATAAAAATCTGAGTTTTCCTGGGATGTCTACGGAGAAGCATCCTCATAACACACCCTAGGACAGTCCTCCCTTCATAAGCAACTAACATGCTAAGGGCTGCTTGTATGATGTTATGGTAAGCCTTAAAGTATATATCCTCAATGTACATAACAATATAAGAAAGTACATGAGTGCTGGAAATATCTGTTACTAATTTTCTTTATTTTAGAATAAGTTTTTCAACTTGAAACTCTACAGCCATTTTCCTACACAAATATAAAACTTAACAGGTTTTACCTTTTCCAAATCAGTAAATCTCTCCTGTAGTTGTCTCTTCTCCAGCTCTACTTTTGCTAATAAGATTTTACCATTCTTTACATCTTCTTCTAGGCCAGATATTCTACCTAAAATTGCAACATTTTAAAAAACAATGAATTCATATATAATACAAATTAAATTTAGAGTAAAAAATTCAGAATTCACCTCATACCTTAAAGCTGTTATTTATGAGCAGAAATTTTATAATTGTTGGTATAGTGCTTCAGAGTTAATTCAACTGGAATCCAATCTACTGCTTCCAGAAATGGCTTGTTACTTAAAATACTTCACACTACTTGAAAGTAAATCCTTCATTCATAAAATTTTATAACAATGTATTTCTAACACCCTAACTTTATAGAACAGAGTAGTATATCCATGCACTTACTACTCCAGCACATTATCCACCATTTAAGGTTATCTCCAAATCACAGATATTTAAGATGAACTTAAGTGCAATATCCACTTTATTTTAATACCTTGTAAATCATTAATAATCTCTGATCCATGGGTTCGGTCCCTCCTCTCAGATTCTAGAACTGACTGAAGATTGATAAATTCCTTTTCAAGTTTTAACCTGGCAGTCTCCAGGAGGCAATTTTTGTCTTGTAGATCTCTGTTGTTAGATTCCAGTTGCTGAATCTGTTTTGAACTTTCTGCCTGTGTTTTCCTTAACCGGGCTGCAGTATCAGATTCTGTTCGCAGCAAAGCATTGGTTTCATCCAGCTGTTAATTCAATTCAAAACCAAACAAAAAACAAATAAACACAGCCATATATGATGAAAATACTTCAATTTATTACCCCATTGCAAACTATTTAAAATAAGAAAAACCCTAAAAATATCTTTCAAATCATTTCCCTTTTGTAACATTACCAATTAAAACAAATGCTAACAGTCATAAATAAAATTCAAAATCCTTATTATAAATAAATTGGGATCAACCTACTTGTCTCTGGAGTTGATTCACTTTCTCAGTGGATATCTGAGAGTTCTGATTTCTTTTTTTCAAATCTTCAAGCTGATCTTTTAAACTGTTAACTATGATAAAAAGCATTTAAGTAGTAAGCTTCAACACAACACACACATACAAACTTCTTTTCTTAGTAAGTATTTAGTATTCTACACTACAAACCATCATTCTCCAAATTTCGCTTCTTGTCTGCTTCATGATCAGCTTTCCGCTGATATTCTGCATTTTTGTGCTGAAGAAGTGCCTTTTCTCTTTCTAATTGTCTTAATGTTGATTCCACATTTTTCCTTAAGGTAATCTGAAATAATGCTTGAAGTTATTATCAAAGGAAAGTATGTATAAAAATCAAATGAAAATAAAAAATACTTCAGTTACATCAAATAGATAGAAGAAACCTTTAAAAAAGCTAATAACTAATAAAAGCCATTTTGTTAAAATTACAAATGGTTTCTATATTTTTATTTATTTTATTTTTAAATTTTTTTGCTTGTTCAATAAGTTTATTATTGTTTTATCTGAAAAATCTTGATAGAAAATTGTGGTTTGGTTTAACTCTCGACAGCTCGTTCCTGAGCTCTAAGGAAGCTTGCCTTCTTCTGAGCTACCTGATCTTTCTTCTGGGCAAGTGACATTTCGGGATGGTTCCACCTCTTCTTTTTAACTTCTTTCTTAGGCTTCTTCTCATACACTGGATTCTCTCGTGTTGCAGCATGAGCTTTCTTATACATCTCCTCCATCATGTCTGGAGTTACACTGTTCTTTATGCACTGAGAGAATTGTTTCTTGTAAGCATCTTCATCTTCTTCAATCAGGTAACACATGTAGTCTGCAACGTTCTGTTCCATGATGTGCTTTCGGTGTACCTCAGCACTGAATTCTTTGCTTTCTGAATCATAACCAGGGAACCGTTTGGTACTGTGAGGGATAGACAAGCCTCCATCGACAGCTCCCTTTAGGGCCCCCAAAACTTTATTCCTGGTAGTAGTTCTGGCAAGTCCTGCATCCAAGTAACAGGTGAAGGCACCAGGTTGACCATCAATACTTTCCACATTGTATTCATCTCCAGTCACTTAGACTTGGCCTTCATAAATTTTTTCCATACCAAACCTATTAAGAAGCCTGCGGGCCAGCAGCAGGCCAGTACAATATGTTGCAGCATAATTTGTCAGGCCAACCTTCACACCATATTTTGGGAGTTTGTGAGCATCAGCTGCACAAACTATCATATCTCCTTCTATATGGGCATAAGCAATCTGACAAATGATATCTCTGTTCGTTACACGAACAATCATTCTATATTTAGGTGTGTTGTACTTATTTTTATCTTGGATTACCAATCGTTTCCGAGCATAATAGTCAGTTTTGCCCTCTCGCCTTCTGAATTTTCACTTGGTATCTCTTGAAGTAGGCCTTGTTCTTGACAACTTTCACAAACCCCATCCTGTGGGACAGAACCCCAATTCCACGGCTTGCCACAGAGCTGCAGAACCAGCACGGCTCTGGGGCGGGGGTGGGGGTGGGGGAGCAGTTTCCATATTTTTAAAATAGCATATTATTCTTAAATAATCAGGAACATAAATATTTTGTTTACTACTGTAAGCCAAAATCTCTAACATTTCATCACCCTTGAATCACCTTTACTTAATATAAACTACAGGTCTGAATAATAAAAAAAATTGTCAATTTCTATTTTTCAGCCATGTCATTAATATGACTGAAACTATTTTTCCTTGAAATATCTACACATACTAAATTAATTCATTGCAAAACCACAACAAAATGAAGCCTATTATCACAGTTTACTCTATAATCTTGGTCCTGTCCACCAATGCTACAACATATATTTTACTATATAACAAGATTTGTATTAGTATGGTATTGAGTGAACTCTATAGGTAATTCAGACATCAAAACTTTTTACAAACAAAAATGTTAATAAAAGCATAGAGAAACTTTACCTCTTCTTCTAGTTCCTTTGCCACTTTCTCTAGGCGAGTATTAACAGATCTGAAGAATTTCAAAGGCAACAGTAAATAAAATAATTCTTACAATAAAGACATTTGCCATAAATTGTAAAATAATCATAGAATTTGTAGCTCTCTTTAGTAAAATGTTTAAATTTACATTTTAAAATATAACATTTAATTATCCACAGAACATACTTGCACTTCTGTTCTAGTTCCTCTTTGGCTTGTATCTCAGTGCTGAGGTGTTCTTCTAATGTGTACAGTTTTTTCTGAATCTGTCAGAAAATAAAAAACTGTAATTACAAAGTGTGATCACATTTAAAAGGCGAGAGGCTTAAAGAAAACAATGATAATCTTCTTCTCCTTTCTTTCAACTTTAATATAGGTACCGTATTTGTACCTTCTTAATGTGATTTTTATTGACAGAAAAAAATCCTCCATCTCTTGCTTTATAGCACAGCACATGTGTATATGTGAACACACTATGTAAATATAAAACTGAGAAGCTCCAATTTTGGCAGAATTCTTCTATGACAGCAAGTTTCTCATTCATTATAAATAAATAAATTTAAAAAAATTGAAATCCTCCACTGTTCTTTTGTAGATTATTTATATGAAAATATTGTCACCATTTGTGCTAATAAGATAAAGATAAAAGGTCTACATCTGAAACAAATATTTGGAATATTTGACTGAATATGCTCAAAAATATATTACTTTTCTTAGAAATAAGAATAAAATTTCTTTCAATTTTCCCAAAGAAAGCATGCAGATAGCCAACAGATCTAACAAAATATGTTCAACATCATTATTAGGGAAATGAAAACCACAATGAAGTATCACTTTACACGTTAGAATGGGTATCATCACAAAGACAAAAATATCAAATATTGGAGAACATGTAGAGAAAAGGGAACTTTCATGCACTGTTGATGGGAATGTAAACTGGTATAGCCAGTATGGAAAAGAATACAAAGATTCTTCAAAAGATAAGGGTAGAATTACCATATAATCCAGATATTCCACTTATGGGTATTTATCTGAAGAATATGAAAACACTAATTCAAAAAGATATATGCACCCAAGATATAGAAACAACCTAAGTATCCACTGGAAGATAAATGGATGAATAAGATGTGATATATACATACAGATTGGGAACCACTTGGCCATAAAAAGAAAAAAGGGAAAAAAGTGAAATCTAGCTATTTGCAGCATGGATGAACCTTGAGGGTATTAGAATTCAAGTGAGAAAGTGAAAGACAAAAATCATATGGTATCATTCATATGGAAACAAACAAAAAGAGGGAAAAAATAAACAAAACAAAAACAAACTCAAAAGACAGAACAGACTGGTCATTACCAGAGGAAAAGGGGCTGGGGTAGATGAAATAAGTGAAAGGGGTCAACTGTATGGTGATGGTTGATTATCACACTCTTAATGATCACTCTGCAATGAGCACAGAAGTAAAATCATAATGTTGTATACCTGAAACTTATATAATGTTACATATCAATTTCAATGTGTTACATATCAGTATCAAAAGTGAAAGGCAAAGGAGAAAAGGAAAGATATATCTATCTGAATGCAGACTTCCAAAGAATAGCAAGGAGAGACAAGAAAGCCTTCCTAAGTGATCAATGCAAATAAACAGAGGAAAAACAACAGAATGGGAAAGACCAGAGATAGCCTCAAGAAAATTAGAGATTCCAAGGGAACATTTCATGCAAAGATGGGCACAATAAAGGACAGAAATGTTATGGACCTAAAAGAAGCAGAAGATATTAAGAAGAGGTGGCAAGAATACTCAGAAGAACTGTACAAAAAAGATGTTCATGACCCAGATAACCACAAGTTAGTTAGTGAGTGTGATCACTCACCTAGAGCCAGACAGACATCCTGGGATGCGAAGTCAAGTGGGCCTTAGGAAGCATCACTACAAACAAAGCTAGTGGAGGTGATGGAATTCCAGTTAGGCTATTTCAAATCCTAAAAGATGATGCTGTGAAAGCACTGCACTCAATATGCCAGCAAATTTGGGAAACTCAGCAGTGGCCACAGGACTGGAAAAGGTCAGTTTTCATTCCAATCCCAAAAAAAGGCAATGCCAAAGAAGGTTCAAACCACTGCACACTGCACCCATCTCACATGCTAGCAAAGTAATGCTCAAAATTCTCCAAGCCAGGCTTGAACAGTACTTGAACCATGAACTTCCAGATGTTCAAGCTGGATTTAGAAAAGGCAGAGGAACCAGAGATCAATTTGCCAACATCCACTGGATCATTGAAAAAGCAAGAGAGTTCCAGGAAAATATTTACTTCTGCTTTATTGACTTCACCAAAGCCTTTGACTGTGTGGATCATACAGTCAGTTTGTTTGTGGAAAAATCTTATTTAACTTATATTCAGAGTACATCATGTGAACTGCCCGGCTGGATGAAGCACAAGATAGAATCAAGATTTCCAGGAGAAATAACCATTAACCTCAGATATGCAGATGATATCACCCTTATGGCAGAAAGTGAAAAGGAACTAAACAGCCTCTTGATGAAAGTGAAAGAGAAGAGTGAAAAAGCTGGCTTAAAACTCAACATTCAAAAAACTAAGATCACGGTATCTGGTCCTATCACTTCATGGCAAATATAGATGAGGAGACAATGGAAACAGTGACAGACTTAATATTCTTGGGCTCCAAAATCACTACAGATGGTGACTGCAGCCATGAAATTAAAAGACGCTTACTCCTTGGAAGAAAGGCTATGACAAATCTAGACAGCATAGTAAAAAGCAGAGACATTACTTTGTCAACAAAGGTCCGTCTAATCAAAGCTATGGTTTTTCCAGTGGTCATGTACGGATTTGAGAGTTGGACTATCAAGAAAGCTGAGCACCAAAGAATTGATGCTTTTGAACTGTGGTGTTGGAGAAGACTCTTGAGAGTCCCTTGGACTGCGAGATCCAACCAGTTCATCCTCAAGGAAATCAGTCCTGAATATTCACTGGAAGGGCTGATGGTGAAGCTGAAACTCCAATCCTTTAGCCACCTGATGTGAAGAACTGACTCATTGGAAAAGCCCCTGATGCTGGGAAAGATTGAAGGCAGGAGGAGAAGGGGATGACAGAGGATGAGATGATTGGATTGCATCACCAACTCGATGGACATGAGTTTGAGCAAGCTCCGGAAGTTTGGTATTGGACAGGGAAGCTTGGTGTGCTGCAGTTCATGGGGTTGCAAAGAGACAGACACGACTGTGCGACTGAACTGATCAATTTTACCTCAAAAAAAGGCGCGCGTGCGCGCACACACACACACACACACACACACACACACACACACAAAACCTCTTTATAATTTCCTATATTGTGCCAGGCACAATACTATGAAAAGTTTATCATCAATAACATTAATGATTAATGATGGCTAATTAATTACAAGTCATCCTGCCATTCTTCAAATCTTATAGGCCAAATTTATCAGTCTTTAAAAAAACTAAAATTATAGAAAGCACTAAAGAATCTATTTTGGGGGTATTACTGCCTTTCTAAAGGATTTAACCTTTTGAGTTCCTTTTGTATTTTAGGTACAATGGCATACACTTTACATTTACTGTGTCATTAATCCTAACAAAAGCCATAAAAAGATGGGTAGTAGTACATTTATTCAATAAAGAAACTGAAATCCAAAAAAAGATGAACAACTGGGCCAAGACAGCACAGCTAATAAGTGGCAGTGCCCCCAAAGACCTATTAGATTCCATGGACAATGTTTTTTCCACTAATTTTTCTAGTGATTATGTTCTCCATGATTTCTTAAATATTTCATGTATCACAAGAAAAACTGTATACTCCCTAGTAAGGAAATATAGGCCAGTGAACTCGTCAAGTTCAACAGCTTTTGGCTACTACTACATTGGCATAACTTGATCACATGCTGATTAGTTATCACATGCCAATCAAAAGTTCTTGTTGCTAGTTACATATCCTTAATAAACAAAACCAAAAAAAGTACATAATATATATTTTAAACAACAGATCCATAGGAGCAATAATGAAAAGAATACTTGGCAGAAAAAAAGGTTGGGAACTTCTTTCTTGGGTAGGTGTAGTACTCCAAACACCAGGTGGAATATGGTTATATCAAAACATCGCTAGAGTGATGAGATTTTCCTGTTTTTCAATATATTTGACATCAACATACCTCTTGACTCTCCTATTTAAAGCAAAACAACAACAACAAAAATTAAAATGCTTGCTATGCTTTGTAAAATTCCTAAAACACAAATCATATAAAAATTACTCAATTTTTTTAGTTTTTATAAGTTTTCAAGAGAAAAATATTTAGCATCCTCATTTATGTGTCCACATCATTTAGTTTTGTATAGAGGTCACAAAATACTGTAACATTTTGATAAAATTATCCTTTATATCAATTCATTGCTAAATACTCAAAATTTAAATCTATCCACTATTTCTGTATTCTCGTACTATCTATACTCATATATAGTGCTAAGATTACAAAATTTTCTAACTGGTAGGAAATACAGCTGTTTATAACATATTCTATCACTTTTGTAATGAAACTAAGCCTAAAGTCATGTAACTCATCTTTTTACTAGCCATTGGCTCTCATACCATAATACTCGTCAAATAAATGAATCTCTTCAGTGTTATACTGATCTGGACTGCAACAAGGAATGCCATCTAAAAGTAACATCAAGTGAACTTTTAAAATACATGGATATTACTAAAATATTTGAACATGTGATTAAAATAGAGTAGTAAAAATTTACACATACTTCATTCTTCCTTGATTGTATTGAGTCATTTTCTTTACAAGACGGAGAGTCACTTAGTAACCTAGAAGGAAAGGCAGGAAATTCTTTTGCATGCCATTTTAACTCATTTTCTGATATAAAGTTATCCTCAGAATTAAATTATCTTTTCACTTTCAACATGTTTTAAGTGAAGTACTTATTATTCCCCCCCCTTGACATTTATACTGTTTTCAATAATTTAAAATGCTACTTCTTGCTTCTCACTCTTAAAGCTGATGTTCTAGTCTTTAACACTGTTGAGACTGGACTCACTAAACAGAACTATATTTTTCCCCCTCTTTGCCTCATTTTGAGTTCCTATTTTATTCTTCTTTTCTAGAAATATTCTGAAAGGAGACATCTCTCCTCTTTTTCAAAGACAACATCTCTTGATCTCCTGGTCTTAATACATAAATCATCACTTCTATTTAACTGTCAATTTCTCTCAACTGGGTCATTCCTTGCTGTGTGTGAACATGCCTGGATTTCTCCTGCACAGATGTCTTCACTTTTGTCAGCATTACAGCAGTTTTCAGAACCTTATCTTTAAGAGGATGAACAACTCATCTTGGTTTGCGCTCATTTTCCTAATTTTAGCATGAAAGTCCCATAGCACATCCCAGGAAACCCCTTAGTCCTGGGCAAACCGTAACAGTTGATCGCCCCAACCATTACAAACATGAAGTATCAAAAATTTCTCAAATGTCTTTAACACTTCATTTAACTACTTAACAGTTTTCAGCAGCTCTTCACTTCCTGTCAAAGTCAAAAGTCCCTTAGCATAATACACAGCAATCATCTGTTCCATCATGCTTCCCTCACACTCTAACTCCAGTCTTTTTCTAATCTTATACCCAATACTCGCTCCAGTTGAGCAATATTTATTGAATGATCTTATGCCAGGCTCTGCACTAGATGAAAGTATTACAGGCAAGAAAATCACAGTCCCATTAAATTATCCAAATGGTTATAATACAGTGATATATACCATGTTTGAAACCTACTGGACTATATTGCTCTGCTCCCAGTGTATGCTTAAATTCCAAAGTTTTGCTTCCACTATTCACCTCCCCACCACACTCACCTAACCACCCTACATCTCAGCTACTCAAAACCCTTTCTTACCTTTAGACTTGGTTAAAATGCTATCTCTTCCTTGAGGTCTTACCTGACTTCCCCCTACACTAGCCCCAAAGAGATGTGACTTTTATTTTTCTTCTGAAATCACAAGAATTATGATTCTCCCGATCTTCTTGGTACCTTTCTTAAGGCTCATATCACATTCTACCCTTCATTATGACTATATAATTCTCCTATGTCCCTTAACAGTTGACAGACTCCCTCAAAGGCAGGTGTTCTGTCTTCAAACACCAGCACTGCCTTACATTCATTTGTAAATGAATATTATATATAATATTCTGCAAAAAAAAAATCTCAGTTTGAAACAAATTAACACATTATCTTCTATAATTCAGAGTCCTGAAGTAAGACAACTCTTTACAGCTAAATGTTGAAAACAATAAAAATATAACAAACAAACCACATACAAATTTTCTCTGTAGTAGGTAAATCCTATAAAAGGTAGCTGATTTCCCACAAAAGCCTTAGGAATTGGGAAGGTTTCTACATCTCCTTTATCATCTTCAATGTCATCAAAATTGCTGCTGTCTATGTCACTGCTGAGTTCAGGTACCACAGGAGCTGCAGCTATTAAAAGAAAAGAAACACACTGTTTAACTTGCACATACATTCTTTAGTTTTCAGAAGTTTTCTACTACATCTTTAAGTAGAAATATTTCTGGCTCTTAAAATGAATTAATGTAAATATACATGAAGTTTAAATGAACTACTATGTTTACCCTAGTATTCACCAGAGTACTCTGCATAAGTAACTAATTATTGATTTATTAATTCAAACATATGAATTAAAGAATTATATTTTCCCAATTCTGAAAATTATTGAGATCCATATAACAGCTTGACAAATTAAGAAACCTATAATGTTTATCATAAAAGCACTGGGAAATAAAAACATAATAGTTTGCTAAGATACTGAAATAAGATTTAGTTACACAGCTTCAAAATGAATTGAAATAAAATCTCTCAATTTAAAAATTACTGTTAAGAGTACCAGACATGCTTTTTAAATCAGAAAAGGATTCAATCTATGATATTTAAAATGTGATGAAATGGAAATATTTAAATTTATTGACTTACTCTCTCTTATGTTATCCCAATTCCACTGATCATTCTTAAAGAAAGGATGTTGTTTGATTTCTTCGACCCCATTTCTTCCAAGGCGTACCTCCCTAAATAATGCAATTAAACATTCTGTTATAAAGAGTAAGATTATAAAAATACAAAAATACTCTTATCTCAACGAGGATCAGAATAAGGATCAGAAATGAGTTTAAAAAAATGGAAAAGCTTCAGCTTAAATACTGCTAAAAAATAAGCAATCTAATTTTACAGCATGTGATCTCTCTAAATAATGAATGTCATGGAAAAGAAATTATGTTTCTATTTGTACTTTGCCTCAAATGAAAGTATAGGAGGATTTCAATTAAAAAAGTCACTGGCATGTGCCAAAATCATATGACCAATCTTAGGGCATAAAATGAATGGAGATCTAACTGCTGGCACAGAAGAATTTTTTTAAAACCTCTATAATAAAAATGTTATTTAAAAAAATCCTCCCCCCTTCTTAAAAAGAACTCACATATTGTGCTTGAAGTTATCCATATTCACTCTGGATAGATCTACATCTATATTAAATGTAAGTTAAATATAAATATGTATTGCATTTATATTAAAACTGTCAATATGAATACAAGAAAAATGTTGCTAATAATTTCATTCTTTGACTTTTTGAGTCTTCAATGAAGACTATGTGGAAATAATAAGCAATTATGCCCCTGGAGCTATGTTTAACACAAACAAGAAAATGTGTAAAGTTTATAGAAGGAAGTACTCCTAGCCATACTAGTGGCATTAAATTCTTCTCAAACTATCTTTTCTCCACCTACAATCATTCTTTAGATTGCAACTACCACCGACCATAAATCACTAAGGCTAGTCTTTCATGAATGGTACTCCTTTCATTAAAACACATGCTATATATCCTGTTTTATATTTTACCTTTCAGCACAAATTATAATCATTTCTATCAACTCCACTTAGTCCTCAAAGCAAATATTATGTAAAATTTATTTTGAGTTTATCACCATGAAGTGTTCATTAATAATGTAATTAACAAAGTTTTATTTTGTTAAATGATTGATAAATAAATGAAAAATATTAAAGTAATGAGGAAAAATATAATTTTCTGCTTTGTATGGAAAAATGAACAATTTATAGTACTTAGTTTGACAAGAATCAGGGAAACAGTTCTTAATAATGGAATATACCCCATGTGACATTTCTGGGGGTCAAATTTGCAACTCAAGTAGGTCAATTTTAAAATGTATAGCCCAGAAATCCATCTTTAAGATTTTATCCTACAAAAAGTATGCAAAGAGAAATGTATGAGAATGGTCACTATAGTACTGCTTGTAACAGCAACTGGCAAACAAACAATAAGGCGTGCTCAGGAAGACAGCATCACTGAGCAAGAAATGTCCTCAGTTATCATCTAAATCTGATCCCATCATATTTAGAATGAGTAAAATTATTTCCCCAGAAAGTAAAATAATTTCCCTAAAATCATTAAGTCTGGTCTAAGGTGGAAGCACCCACTTGTATGCGTTGGCCCTTTGACAGGATGACTCCTATCACAAACGTAAAGTGGGAAACCAGAAAATAGAGAGGGCAAGGGAGACACTTCAGGGAGCTTTCCAGGCTTCTCTTTTTTTAAGGCAGGTTTTCACAATAATGTTCATCTATTTTAAGAAATATAGAATTTTCAGGATGGACTTGTTCATATTCAAATGCAAATTAAAAGGGGCTGGGAAGGAGGCACTGCAAAGTCAGACACAGTTTTTAAGATTATTAACTTTTGAGTATTTATCTGCACAAAATGTTCTTCTCTCAAAAGCTGTACACTCAAAAGCAATATGGCTCAATCATTTTAAAGGATAAAATGTGAAAAACACAAAAGTTTTCTTTTCTCTCAGATGCACTATTTTATCAAGTTTTCTTTTTAGATATGAGGGTTAAGATCAGAGTTGGATCACCATCAGGCTGCACATACAAAATGACAATGGTAACCCAATCCCAGGCTAAGCAGTAGGAAAGGGCTAAACCAGAATTAAATGCAAGTTGGATAAAAAGACTGATTTTATATGTGTATATATAAGAGTTAAGTAAGCTTTCACTTCTACAAGTCTAAAAGCTACAAGGATTCTCTACAAAGAAATCTCTATAAAGAAATTTAATGTATATTACCTATCCGTTAAGAAGGCACAGATGAGATTCTTCGCATGTTTAGAAATTTCTGCATCTTCAGGGAAACACAGTGAGTTTTTATGATCCATAATTTTGCTGTATGTTCCTACAAGTGAATCTGCATAAAATGGAGTATCCCCTAAAGTACCAAGAAAGAAGACACAGAGTGTAACAGAGAATGCAAGTAAAACATTTTTTACTAAATATGTTTAGATTTATTGCATGCATGTAAGAAGGAAATGTCTATGGGACAGGAATCTCAGTCAAAACAAACATGTACACACCAAGAATATACTTAAATTTTAACCATACCAATAAGCCCGTAACTTTTAAAATCAAAATAAAATCAATACTAACTGTACAATGTGTTGGGAAATATATAATGAGAAAAAAATCAATTTACTGGATAATTTAACAGCTTACTAAGTGTGACCAGATCAGTTACAGCCTTCTAATGCTTCAGCTAAATCAAACCTTTTGTTATACAATACAGTAGTCACCAACCACAAGTGGCACTTTAAATTAATTAAAATGAAATAAAATTAAAAATTCATTTCCCTAGTCACATTAGCTGTATTTCAAAAGCCCAACACGGCAGGTCCCCACCATACTAAACAGTGCAGACATAAGCCACTTTCATCACAATAGCCTGGACAATGCAGCTCTAAGAGTCAGATCAGCCTCATTATTCTACATACAAGGAAGCCAGGCCCAGATAGATGACATGATTTGCCTACGAGGACACACAGCTAGAACTGAAAATGGCAGAATCATTCTCCAAATACAGTGTTCCTGCCAACTGATGACTGTGATAAAGAGGCACTGAAATGAGTATAAAGACTTTCGAAAAAGTTCACAGCATCATTTTGGCCAGTACTCAAATTCTAAGAGTTAAAGGCCCTGCCAGTGTGCTTCAAATCACCTTAGGACAAACCAGACTTCCCCAAGTCAGCCAAAAAGAAGTGCTCAGATAGTTTTTGTTTTCCAAGGGTAGCAGAGGAGAGTTTTGAATTCAAGATTTTTCTAGTGTGATTTTTTACTGCAGTAGACTCTTTGAAGTGAAGTCTAGTGCCAACCAACCTGATGAGTGAGCGCCAGAGTATGCTCAGAATACTGCATATCAGTGCCATTCAAACCCATTAAATTCAGCTCTCAGAGCTGAAAACGGTAGCAGGTGTATAAATGGTCTCTTCAAACAACCCAGGTGACTTCCTCCAAAGTATATTATTTTTTAAAACCCTGGGAGAGTCTAGGCAAATGATGGAATATATTCCACTTTCAAAATACTACAAAACACACCCAATAAATCATCAGACAGGGCCCAGACATAGGGAGAACAGACAGCTACCTAAGAGAATACACTATGTACAAAGAGACCCACTGCAATGACAAAGGCCCAGAACAAAGCAAGTCACAGCAGGACATGATACTTAGCACAGCAAGGTCAACACTACATGTACACACATGGTCATCAAGAGAAGGCATTTTAACTACAAAAAGTTTTAGGAGAAAGGGTTACCTAATTTTGTACTGAGTTTTTGTTGTTGTTGTTGTTGTTGTTTTAAGCAATAACCATATTCAATCATTATACAGATTTTACAGATTTTCACCACCAATTTCTTTCAGAGTCACAGAAAAGAAATTCTCCAAGTTGTAACACTAATTCAATCTAAATTCTTATAATGTTATCAGCCTTAACACATTTGCCTCATAAATTAGATTTTGCTATATCTTCCCTGGGCTGCCCTCATAGGTCAGTTGGTAAAGAATCCGCCTGCAATGCAGGAGACACTGGTTCAATTTCTGGGTTGGCAAGACCTGCTGGAGAAGGGACAGGCTACCCACTCCAGTATTCTTAGGTTTCCCTTGTGGTTCAGCTGGTAAAGAATCCGACTGCAATGTGGGAGACCTGGGTTTGATTCCTGAGTTGGGAAGATCCCCTGGAGAAGGGGAAGGGTACTCACTCCAGTATTCTGGCTTGGAGAATTCCATGGACTGTATAGACCATGGAGTTGCAAAGAGTTGGACACAACTGAGCAACTTTCACCCCTCACCCTAAAGCCACTGGTTTACTTGGCCAGAAGATATTTTTGTGACTCTAGTACTTAGGAGGAGGAAATCTTAAAAATGAAATCTATGGTGTAAAGAAAAGTTTTGAAATATCTGAACATTTCAAACTTTGATGTGGCCAAAGTAAAAGAAATTATTTAACTTGTCTCTGAGTTTTCTGAGATTGAAACACTATTATAAAATATATTTATCTTGATAGTCAAATGGTCAATAACAATATTTGACTGGAATTACAAACCAAATATATATACAAGTAGCAAATACAAGAAACACAGTTTACAAAAACTAATTACATAACATAATTACATAAACTGAATACTTTCAGTTCCCTATTTACAACAGAATACTATTAATCAAAGAGGACACAAACAGATGGAGAAACATACCGTGTTCATGGATTGGAAGAATCAATATTGTCAAAATGGCTATTCTACCCAAAGCAATCTATAGATTCAATGCAATCCCTATCAAACTACCAACGGTATTTTTCACAGAACTAGAACAAATAATTTCACAATTTGTATGGAAATACAAAAAACCTCGAATAGTCAAAGTAATCTTGAGAAAGAAGAATGGAACTGGAAGAATCAACCTGCCTGACTTCAGGCTCTACTACAAAGCCACAGTCATCAAGACAGTATGGTACTGGCACAAAGACAGAAATATAGATCAATGGAACAGAATAGAAAGCCCAGAGATAAACCCACACATATGGACACCTTATCTTCAACAAAGGAGGCAAGGATATACAGTGGAAAAAAGACAACCTCTTTAACAAGTGGTGCTGGGAAAACTGGTCAACCACCTGTAAAAGAATGAAACTAGAACACTTTCTAACACCATACACAAAAATAAACTCAAAATGGATTAAAGATCTAAATGTAAGACCAGAAACTATAAAACTCCTAGAGGAGAACATAGGCAAAACACTCTCCGACATAAATCACAGCAGGATCCTCTATGACCCACCTCCCAGAATACTGGAAATAAAAGCAAAAATAAACAAATGGGACCTAATGAAACTTAAAAGCTTTTGCACAACAAAGGAAACTATAAGTAAGGTGAAAAGACAGCCCTCAGATTGGGAGAAAATAATGGCAAATGAAGCAACAGACAAAGGATTAATCTCAAAAATATACAAGCAGCTCCTGAAGCTCAATTCCAGAAAAATAAATGACCCAATCAAAAAATGGGCCAAAGAACTAAACAGACATTTCTCCAAAGAAGATATACAGATGGCTAACAAACACATGAAAAGATGCTCAACATCACTCATTATCAGAGAAATGCAAATCAAAACCACAATGAGGTACCATTACACGCCAGTCAGGATGGCTGCTATCCAAAAGTCTACAAGCAATAAATGCTGGAGAGGGTGTGGAGAAAAGGGAACCCTCTTACACTGTTGGTGGGAATGCAAACTAGTACAGCCACTATGGAAAACAGTGTGGAGATTTCTTAAAAAACTGGAAATAGAACTGCCATATGACCCAGCAATCCCACTTCTGGGCATACACACCAAGGAAACCAGATCTGAAAGAGACTCGTGCACCCCAATGTTCATCGCAGCACTATTTATAATAGCCAGGACAGGGAAGCAACCTAGATGCCCATGAACAGACGAATGGATAAGGAAGCTGTGGTACATATACACCATGGAATATTACTCAGCCGTTAAAAAGAATTCATTTGAATCAGTTCTAATGAGATGGATGAAACTGGAGCCCATTATACAGAGTGAAGTAAGCCAGAAAGATAAAGACCATTACAGTATACTAACACATATATATGGAATTTAGAAAGATGGTAATGATAGCCCTATATGCAAAACAGAAAAAGAGACACAGATGTACAGAACAGACTTTTGGACTCTGTGGGAGAAGGCAAGGGTGGGATGTTTCGAGAGAACAGCATGTATATTATCTATAGTGAAACAGATCACCAGCCCAGGTGGGATGCATGAGACAAGTGCTCGGGCCTGGTACACTGGGAAGACCCAGAGGAATCGGGTGGAGAGGGAGGTGAGAGGGGGGATCGGGATGGGGAATACATGTAACTCCATGGCTGATTCATGTCAATGTATGACAAAAATGTTGTGAAAGTAATTAGCCACTGAAATGTTGTGAAGTAATTAGCCTCCAATTAATAAAAATAAATGAAAAAAAAAAAGAAAATCTTAGAATGAAGGTCCACTGCAGCTGTAAATTTGCTTCTTGTTCTAGTATTTTCTTAATCAAAAAGGTCTACGAAAGGACTATTTCCTAGCAGTAGACTTTCAATTCCTTTCATATTCTACTCAATTATTGTACCAGCATGAGGCTTCGTTTTAATTTTCCAATCAACTCTGTCACAGACACTATCAATTCAAAGGTTTAAAGAAATTCTACTTTCTCCTTAGAACACAAGCAATTAACTTTTTTATAGTCTCACATTTTTTACTTAGAACTAAAGTGTTATCAGATAGGTTTTAAAAAAAGATCCCAGTTTACTTACCCACCAGCATCTCAAAAAGGAAAACACCCACGGACCACCAATCACATTCTCGCCCATAGTAACCATCACCCCCTTGTGATTTCAGGACCTCAGGTGATATATAATCAGGTGTTCCAACTGCTGTATCACAGTGCACCATGCCTGTCTAGGTAAAGTGCAGAGAGAGGAAAAAAGATGTATATAAAATGTGAGTAAAAATACACACATATAAGCAAAACTAATCCATTTATTATTATTTATACAGTGACTACCCACTGCTACCAACAGATCTTCACTGCTGACATGGTTTTGGGAGGACAGAGGATAGATGCATTATGAAATGCATAAAGATGTCTGGATTATGGGAGATCAGTGATAATTTTCCAACTCTAAAATACTAGAGGCTTCATCAATGAAAGAAGGAAAAGGTGGCTAACTTCATGGGAATTCCATGCAAATCAACATCGTCTCTTTCTTACACTATTAAGTAGTTAACAAGAGAAGTACAAAATGTGGTCTTAATGCACCTGACCTGGGGAAAAGAAAAGAATCATGAAAGGAAGCTTTAATATTTCCAAAGAAACTGAAGTGATTAAAACTGCAAAGGCCTCACCTCTGGAGGCTGGATAAAGAAATGGGTATTAGTTCACCCATTCTTCTTGGTATTATTATACCAAGAAAAAAATGCGAGAAATAGACCAACTATTTAAATCAAAAGATCTTAATTGTTTGAAAGATATACCTCAAAGCTGCATGTTTAGAAATGTGGAGCTGTGGCATCAAGGTATTTGGCAAAATGATAAAAACAGTCTTTTCTGTGTTTCGTTTCTGTAGGTAATAAGATAATCCCTATCTGATGTCTTTCTGACAAGAACCACTGTAGATAATACCTATGTGTGTGTTTATTTTATAGCGTGTGTGTGTGTGTGTGTGTGTGTGTGTGTGTATGTGTCTGTCTGTGGGTGTATGCTGCAAGATTAAATCACAACAGTATATAGTAGTGTGGTGCTAACTTAAACCCATTTACTTCCAGCTATGTACAAACCTGGAAAAACTTCACAGATTAAGTTACATGCCTTTCATTTTCTCTATCTACCTAATTTAAAAAGTGTGTCACCTAATAAGTTTATTCCTAATAAGTAAGCTATATAAACTAGCAAACTACTAAGTACTATGACCACCTTGTTCAGTGTATTTTCTAAACATGACTTACATAAATGCTTTTATTTAAATGCAATAAAACATCATATATGGGAAGTTAAGTTTCAAAAGCAATCTTTTCATTCCTCAAAAATCAGCAAAAATGACTCAATGATTTTATTTTCCCAAGTATACAGCAAACAGAGGTCATTTGAGTTTAAATATAAATAAAATAAAAAATTTGGAAATAATTGAGCCAATTATGATGGCAATACTCTGCATGGGTTATTATTTAGGATAAAAAATGAAGATGACAATGCCTGACTACAAAAACCAGGACATAAAATTAATTTTTATCATTAACTACCTTATATTTGACCTTTTTTTTTTTTTTACTTCTACTGAAGGAAAAATTCATAAAGACTTACTAGGGTACATAAAATCTCTTCATTTCACATTTATCCATGTAAGTTAGACTTCCAAAAAATGAATCTCGTGACACTTAAATAGCTAAAACCTGGCCAGACACAAAGTGCCACTGAAAGAAAATTTGTTTAGCATTCAAAGATTCAGAGGAAGAAAAGGATAAGAAAAGAACTGGCAAACAAGTTAGGCTTCAAAGGAATGAGAGTTGGTATGGCAGCTTAGGAAAAAAGAGCAAAAACAAAGGGACAAGAATGACTTTATATAAAGTTCAAGAAATGCAGTAAAGGCCAAATCAGCTAAATGTAAAACTTCACATGATGAAGCTGGAAAAGGAAAGATGGAAGTCAGTTTGAATAACTGCTTATTTGTAGAAAAGAAACACTCTGCTGGGACTAAATAATTTTTGCACAGTAGACTATGCTACTGGTACCCTGTTTTCGAAAACTTAATATTTCAACCACCATCTTTGGTTGATGGTGGCATGCTCTGGCAAGCATGTTGAGGGTTAAAAAAGTTTTTTTAAATAAATATTTGGGAAAGATGGTGGCACTAGTGGTAAAGAACCCGCCTGCCCACACAAAGGCGAGTTAGATCCCTGGATCGGGAAAATCTTGGAGTAGGAAATGACTACCCACTCCAGTATTCTTGCTTGGGAAATCCCATGGACAGAGGAGCCTGCTGGGCTACAGTCCATGGCGTTGCAAAGAGTTGGACATGAGTGAAGTGACTAAGCACACATGCACTTAAAAACTATCTCATGGGGAAATTCTCAAATTACACAAATATAAACTTTGTATTTACGACAAATCTCTGATTCTCTTCTAAAGAAATACAGGAAGGATAAACCACAAACTAAGAGACTGGTTTACCTACAGGGGGTGAGTAGGAAAAGGGTAGAAAGAAGCAAGTACAGTACAGGAATGGGGTGGTGGGATAAGGAGGGGGTAGGTGATCCTTCTCTGAGGATGTAATTTGTACAGTTCTGACTCTTAAACCAGAGGAATGCTTCACATATCCAAAAAATAAATAATTAAAATCAACCAGATGTGGGACAATTCTAAATGGAACACCAACAGTAAGAAACGGACCTGTTTCATAAAATAATAATATAACCACACCAAAGAAGGTAGAGAGGAAAAGAACAGACCTAGGTTACCTTGGAAAACAGTTGGAGTATATATAATGAGAGCCAGGTTTCTCACTATCCAAAAAAGTAAATACAAAAAAGAAAGGAGGAAGACTAGAATGAATCCTGTGCCATAAAACTAGAATCAGAAGTATCATATGAACTCATGATTTTTAATATACTTCATATACAGACTAGTAAGTACAGAATTAAATATGAACATGTATGTGCATGTGAGTTAGTATAGTATATACAATATAGACATGACCATTAACAGGGTCTAGAAGTAATGACACTCCAAAAGCAGTGAATACATCTAACACCCAAATACTGATTTTTAAATACCATTCTTGAATAAAAGCAATTAGATCTTCTTTGAGAAGTGTTTGTTTTCAGGGCTGGAACACAGAAAATACAAAATAGTGTTCAACAACTTACAGTACAAAGAAAGAAAAAGAAAAGAAAATGCTCCCTAGAGGGTACATGTTAAAAAGCTAGAGGAGCCAACTTAAAAGACTTCACAAGATAAGCAAACTTTGAACTGAGTTTCAAAGTGTGAGTAGGAACTTGCCAAGCAGAGTGTATTCAATAGAATGTATTAGATTGGTATAACTGTAATTGCAGTTTTGGATCATAAATTTTAAAGCATTATAAGTACACTCAAACACATCTTTATTAATCAAAACAGGACCCATTATAATCAACACATTTTTGCCATCAAGAATTAAGTTTGTTTATATCTGTAGCGTAAAAATGCATGCCTTGTGAATCAATGATCTTTTGGAAAGCATTTTCTGCCTCCTGCTGGTTATGGAAGCATTTTCCCTACAAAAAGTTGTCGAGATGCTTGAAGAAGTGGTAGTCAGTTGGCGAGAGGTCAGGTGAGGTGGATGAGGCAAAACTTAGTAGTCCAATTTGTTCAACTTTTGAAGCATTGATTGTGTGACATGCAATTGGGCGTTGTTGTGGAGAAGAATTGGGCCCCTTCTGTTGACCAATGCTGGCTGCAGGTACTGCAGTTTTCAGTGTATCTCATTGATTTGCTGAGCATACTTCTCAGATGTAATGATTTCATCAGGATTCAGAAAGCTCTAGTGGATCAGACAGGCAGAAGACCACCAAACAGTGAGCACAACCTTTTTCTGGTCCAAGTTTGGCTTTGGGAAGTTCGCTGGAGCTTCTTCTCAGTCTAACGACGATGTGGTCGTTGCCAATTGTCGTATAAAATCCATTTTTCATTGCACATTATAATCCGATTGCAAAATGGTTCATTGCAGTTGTGTAGAATAAGAGATGACACTTCAAATGACAATTTTTTCTGATTTGTGGTCAGCTTACAAGGCACACACCTAGCAAGTTTTTCACCTTTCCAATTTGCTTCAAGTGCCAAACGATGGTAGAATAGCTGACATTGAGTTCTTCGGCAACTTTTTGTGTAGTTGTTAAAGTGGATCAGCTTCAATGATGGCTCTCAATTGGTCGCTGTCAACTTCCAATGGCTGGCCACTGTGCTCCTCATCTTCAAGGCACTTGTCTCCTTTGCAAAATTTCTTGAACCATCACTGTTTATCTGTTAGCAGCTCCTGGCCCAAATGTGTTGTTGATGTTGCAAGTTGTCTCCACTGCTTTACAACCCATTTTAAACTCAAATAAGAAAATCACTTCAATTTGCCTTTTGTCTAACTTCATTTCCATAGTTTAAAATAAACATAAAATACACAGCTAGTAATAAGTCATTAGCAAAAATACATAAAGCGAGAAATGAGCATTAAAATGATGTATAACACATCATGTGATGATAAATAACCACAGTTATTTATGTATTCCAATATCAACTGGCAAAGTTCAACATAGAAAAATGGCAATTGCTTTTGCACCAACCTTATATAAAAGCCGGGAATCATGAAATACCATGGGTATAAAAGAAACTATTTAATTTAAGACCTCTGAAACACAAGGTACAAGAGAACAAATGATAGAGAATGAAGGTGAAACACTAGGCAGGGATTATATCACCTTAAGAGGAGGCTTCAGGTAACTAGGTAAGGAGTTTCAACTTTCTTTAATAAATGATAGAAATCTACTAAAGGGTTTCAAGTTTGAAAGAAACATAAACAGGTATGCATTTTCAAAAGCTTCTTCAAAAGTTCTTTATCTTACATGGATCAGATAATGTGTGTTTGCTGGACACATCTAGTGTTTCACAACTGACAAATGTCATAAATGGAAAGATTTACTGAAAACAAAAAATGGTCAGAGGATTTAGCATAGTCATTGAAGCAGAAGTAGATGTTTTTCTGGAATTCCCTTGCCTTCTCTATGATCCAATGAATGTTGGCAATTTGATCTCTGGTTCTTCTGCCTTTTCTAAACACAGCCTATACATCTAGAGGGCTTCCCTGGTGGCTCCGATGGTAAAGAATCTGCCTGCAATGCAGGAGACTGGTTCAATCCCTGGGTTGGGAAGATCCACTGGAGAAAAGAGTGGCAACCCACTTCAGTATTCTTGCCTGGAGAATTCCCTGGACAGAGGATCCTGGTGGGCTACAGTCCATGGGGTCGCAGAGTCAGACACGACTGAGCAACTTTGGCTTTCACATCTGGAAGCTCTCGGTTCACACACTGCTAAAGCCTAGCTTGCAGGATTTTGAGCATAACCTTGCTAGCATTTGAAATGAGTGCAATTTTCTAGCAGTCTGGACATTCTTTGGCATTGTCCTTCTTTGGGATTGGAATGAAAACTGACCTTTTCCAGTCCTGTAGCTACTGCTGAGTCTTTCAAATTTGCTGACATACTGAGTGCAGCACTTTAACAGCAATATCTTTTAGGATTTTAAATAACTCAGCTGGAATTCCATCACCTCCAGTAGCTTTGTCTGTAGTAGCGCTTCCTAAGGCCTGCTTGACTTCACACTCCAGGATGCCTGGCTCTAGGTGAGTGACCACACCATCGTGGTTATCCTAGTCATTAAGATCTTTTTGGTATAGTTCTTCTGTGTATTGTTGTTACCTCTTACTATACTAATAGCCTGTAAGAGTTTATGGTAAACACATTACAATGGCTATGTATTAGAGAAAGAGAATAAAATAAAAACAACTGAAAGGGGGAAAACATAATTGGAAAAAAAGAAACCAAATGAGGTCTTTGTGTGGATAACTAATACAATAAGTTGTGAGCTGAGGAACATAATTAACTACATGTACTATTAAAAATAGTAAACAAAATTATATACACCGTATTTTATTTTGCCCTATAGAGACAATTTAAGATATTTAAACAGCTGAATTTAGTATTTACTTACATGCTTGTAAAATAATTTTTTAAACACCATATTCTGACCTGTTCCATACTTGCATATTCAACATCTTTCTTTCCTTAACCACCTTTACCCATCCTAAAAACACATGGTGTGATTTCTCTGCACCCTCCCAAAGGTTCTTGGTTTAATGAAAATCAGAGCACACTCATGGAAGTGCAACACATAAATATCATTTGTTATGTATAACAGACATTAAAAAGTTTAGTATTCTGTTAGAAAATTACTTCATTTTCATTAAAGATCATTTTCACTGGTAATCACTTTATACTACATTATGATAAACACCACAAGAGGGAGCTTTGGTCCACCTACTAAACATTGATTAGTATATGCAGAACACAAACATAGTAATACTCTATGAAGAGGACCAGAGAACCCAAGAGATGTTACATTTTAGCTGGGTAGACAGGGCATACAAACCTAGATAGAAAAAAGTGCCCTGCGAAGTACAGCATGAATTCTAAGTGAGTAACATTATGGACATTATGACAGAGAGTAATCAGTCAGGTTAGCATTATCAGAGAAAACTTTCTACATGAGGTAAAAAAATTAGAGCTGAGCTTGAAGAAAATGGATCACTGATGACAATCAATAAAAGTGAATATCAAATAGTTGGCATAAATAAGTTGACAAGTAAAGAGAAAGGGAAATCAGCTTAATTCAAAATAAAAGTCTTGACAAGATAATTAACAAGAATACATAGAAATAAAACATGATCTCTCCCAATCAGGAATGAATTACTGCCAGGAATTATAGCACACTTACATAGAGATCATTATAAACATGAACTAGTTTTGACTGGTAGCAAATGTTTGTCAAAATGCTATGAGGAAGATGATTACTTATCTGAGTTCTTATTTCTCTTGGATTCACCAAATCTACAAAGTATTCTACAACTAGATGAATGATTTAGTAAAGGAAATGTTTTGATTTAGATATTTTATTACCTTGTTTGAGTCATTACATAGTTAGTAAAACTAAATTTATATATTTTTTAAATTATGAAGTCTAGATATATTGTTTTCTTTTTGTCTCTTAAAAAACTAGCATTAAAAAAAAACACAAAACTCGCTTATTACTTACTTCATCCATCTTCATACATGTGCCAAAATCTGCTAATTTTAGATGTCCATGTTTATCCAAGAGCATGTTGTCAGGCTTCACATCTCTGTGAATTAAACCCATGGAGTGTATGGCATCCAAAGCAAGAACAACTTCAGCAGTATAAAATTTGGCCCATTTTTCAGGTACATCATAGTTACTCATAAGGTTTACAAGGTCTCCACCAGGCATGTACTCCATTACCATGTACAGATACTTATCATCTTGAAAGGCACAAAAGAGCTGGAAAACAAAACAAGAAGGAAAAAAAGTTTAAAAAAAGAAAAGAGGGACTTCCCTGATGGTCCAGTGGCTCAGACTCTGTGCTTCCAATGCAGGGAGCCTGGGTTCGATCTCTGGTCAGGGACCTAAATCCCACATGCCACAACTAAGACCCAGTGCAATCAAATAAATAAATAAAAATATTAAAAAAGGAAAAAAGAAAACTAGAACTGTTAACAGAAAAAAATTCCAAAATCAATACTGCTATTGAAAAAGACAAATTACTGTAAAACCAACACAGAGTTAAACTTTATGAAATCTTTGACTTTAGATTTGGATATCTTTAATGGAGAACCAGTTATCAGATAAAACTATTATACGAATATCTTCTTCATGCTTAAATAACAAAATATGCATAAATGTATCATTTTCCCTCTTGGAGAATACAGGAATCTATTTAAATAGACATATTTTAAAAGAGAAACAGAATAAGAAAGAGGAATATAAAAGGTGATGACAAAAGAATCCATAATAAAATAGCCCAACTTTCTGCAAACAAATTCCTGCACATAACTCACAAAGCAGAGAGCTGAGCAGGCAGTTTAGAAACACCTAAGATACCAGATTCAATAGATACCAGAAAAGGGAATAAGTCCCATACCACTGGGAAGAGTAATTTGTAGCCACATTTGGGACAGGGCCTTCTCCCTTCCTTTCCCCATCATCTTGTTCATAATCAATAGCAATGGCAGTGTTAACTGCACTCAAACTAAAGCAGTGGCACTGGGACCTGAGAAAAAGCACACCACGCTAGGGGATTTGCTGGGGCGTAGTTATCAGGGTCTCCTAATAAATCAGGTGAGAATAGGACTAATATTATTAGCACAAGAACTAGTAACAAGGCACCTAAGATTGGTCCTGACTCCCAGGAGAGACAAGAAACCACAAATTCAGAAGGAAAGGTTTCTGTACATTCCACCCAACAACATGTCCCACCCCTTCCTGAAAGCATACATCATAAACAGAAAAGATTTCCACAAACGGGAAAAAGAACAAAAACAAGAATCTAGTTATCTGAGGAGGTTTTACAAACAGTAGAAGAATGAGGAAAAGCAAAAAGCAAGGGAGACAGGAAAAGGTACATTCAACAAAACAAAGAGTTCCAAAAAATAGCTAGAAGAGACAAGAAGGCCTTCTTCAATGAACAATGCTTAACAAGACAAAAACAACAAAAGGGAAAAGACTAGAGATCTCTTCAGGAAAACTGGAAACATCAAGGGAGCACTCCACCCAAAGAAGGGCACAATAAAGGATAAAGGTAGTAGAGACCTAGTAGATGCTGAAGAGATCAAGAAGAGATGGAAATAATACACAGAAGAACTGTATAAAAAAGATATTAATGAACTGGATTACTACGATGGTGTGGTTAGTCACCCAGAGCCAGACATTACAGAGTGCAAAGTCAAGTGGGCCTTAAGATGTATTGCTAGTAATATAGCTAGTGGATGTGATGAAATTCCATCAGAACTATTCAAATCCCTAAAGGAAGATGCCATCAAGGTTTTTCATTCATTATGTCAGCAAATCTAGAAGACCCAGAAGTGGTCACAGGACTGGAAAATCCTCATCCCAATTCCCAAGAAGGGTAGTACCAAAGGCTGTGCTAACCATCAGACAATTGCACTCATCTCCCATGCTAGTAAGGTCATGCTTAAAATACTTACATATTACGCAAGTATTATACGAACCAAGAACTTCCAGATGTCCAAACTGGGTTTAGAAAAGGAAGAGGAACTAGAAATCAAATTGCCAGCATTCACTGTATTATAGAGATAGCAAGGGAATTTCAGGAAAATATCTGTTTCCATCAACTACACTAAAGCCGTTAACTGGCTGATTCATGTCAATGTATGACAAAAACCACTACAATACTGTAAAGTAATTAGCCTCCAACTAATAAAAAAAAACTGAATTAATTAATTAAAAAAATAAATAAATAAAGCTGTTAACTGTATGGATCATGACAAACTGTGGGAAGCTCTTAGAGAGATGGGAATACCAGATCATCTTACCTGTCTTCTGAGAAACCTGTATGCAGGTCAAGAAGCAACAGCTAGAATGCTGTATGGAACAACTGATTGGTTCAGGATCGAGAAAGAGTATGACAGGGCTGTCTGCTGTCATCTTGTTTTTTTTCTTTTTTTCATTTATTTTTATTAGTTAGAGGCTAATTAATTTACAATATTGTAGTGGTTTTTGCCATACATTGACATGAATCAGCCATGGATTTACATGTGTTCCCCATCCTGATTCCCCGCTCCCACCTCCCTCCCCACCCCATCCCTCTGGGTCTTCCCAGTGCACCAGCCCCAAGCACTTGTCTCATGCATCCAACCTGGGCTGGTGATCTGTTTCACTATAGATAATATACATGTTTCAATGCTATTCTCTCAGCTCATCCCACCCTCGCCTTCTCCCACAGAGTTCAAAAGTCTGTTCTATACATCTGTGTCTCTTTTTCTGTCCTGCAAATAGGGTTATCATTACCATCTTTTTAAATTCCATATATATGCGTTAGGATACTGTATTGGTATTTATCTTTCTGGCTTACTTCACTCTGTATAATGGGCTCCAGTTAATCCATCTCATTAGAACTGATTCAAATGTATTCTTTTTAATGGCTGAGTAATATCCCATTGTGTATATGTACCATAGCTTTCTTATCCATTTGTCTGCTGATGGGCACTTAGGTTGCTTCCATGTCCTGGCTATTATAAACAGTGCTGCAATGAACACTGGGGTACATCCTGTTTGTTTGACCTACAGGCTGAGCACATCATGAGAAATGCCAGGCTGGATGAGTTGCAAGCTGGAATCAAGATAGGCAGGAGAAACATCAACAACCTCAGATATGTGGATGATACCACTCTAATGGCAGAAAGCGAAGAGGAACTAAAGAGCCTCTTGATGAGGGTGAAAGAGGAGAGTGAAAAAGCTGGTTTAAAACTCAACATTCAAAAAACTATGATCATGGCATACAGACAGAAGGGGAAAAGATGGAAGTAGTGACAGATTTCCTCTTCTTGGGCTCTAAAATCACTGTGGACGGTGACTGCAGCCATGAAATCAGAAGATGGTTGTTTCTTGGCAGGAAAGCGATGACAAACCTAGACAGTGCTTTGAAAAGCAGAGACATTACACTTCTGAAAAAGGTCCATTAAGTCAAGGCTATGGTCTTTCCAGTGGTCAGGTATGGTTGTGAGAAGCTGGAATGTGAAGAAGGCAGAAAGCTAAAGAATTGATGCCTTTGGACTGTGGTGCTGGAGAAGACTCCCAAAGACCTTTGGACAGCAAGGAGATCAAACCAGTCAATCTTAAGGAAGATCAACCCTGAATATTCACTGGAAGGACTGATGCTGAAGCTCCAGTATTTTGGTCATCTGATGTGAACAGACAACTCATTAGAAAGTCCCTGACGTTGGGAAAGATCAAGGGCAGGAGAAGAGGGCGTCAGAGGATGAGATGGCTGAACGACATCACTGATGCAATGAACATGAACTTGGGCAAACTCCAGGAAATGGTAAGAGAGAGGGAGACCTGGCGTGCTGCTGTCCATGGGATCACAAAGAGTTGGACAGGACTGGGCAAATGAACAACAACAAGAATCAACAATTGAGAGAAACCAGTATCATGAAATAGAAGCAAAGCAATTCAAGAAACAGAAAGTTAACAGTCAAGGAAATGCTTAAATAGGACAAATTAAGAACAGCTCTAAAAATATAAAAACCAATAGCCTCAAAAGAATAACAAGTCACATCAAGTAAACAACAGGATGATATGGGAAAAAATCTGAAGCTTTGGCATTAAACATACAACTAATGATAAGAGAAAAATTATAGAGCAAGAAAATTGAGAAGAGTAACTTTCTCTCTCTGAAGTCACTGAAGGATTCAAAGATGAAAAACAGAGCAAAGTTAGCAAAGTTCCAACATCTAGCTACATGCAGTCTGTAAGAGAGAACATAGACCAGAAGAAAAAGAAAAAATAAATAGCAAAAAAAACCCTCCAGAAATGAATAAAGTCAAAAATCTAGATCAAAAGGACTGCAAATGAAACAAAGAGAAACTAAGATAGTGCTAAACTCTCAGAAACCCAACAAAAAAAATTCTAAAAGTTTACAAAGACAAAAACTATCTCAGGTACAAAACCCAAATCATATTGTTAACAAATATTTCAGCCAACACAGAAGACAAAAAACAGAGATATACCTTTAAAAATGTGAAGGAAAAAAATTTCAATTCTAGAATATGGCAGTCTAAAAACAAACCCAATGAAGTGGCAAAATAAATATGTATTACATCATGCATATTCTCAGAAATCTGATAACAAGCCACTTCTGAAAGAACTGCTCAAGGAAAATGGTTTGACAAAATGAATAAATTCAAGTAAGACAATTATGTGAGACATAAGAAAAGAGGGCAAATAAAATAATCTAGAAAAGTTTATTAAATATAATTACTGATACAAAATTAAATACTTTGAGTCAAGTCAAAATTAGAATAATTTTTAAATGCAAGGCGGTGAGATGCAGAGAAGAAAGGGACAAAAGACATTATAAGGCTGGTTCCAAATTGCAAAGGGGGTATGCATGTGTATGTATGTGTGTGTGTGCATGTGTGTGTAATGCTATTAATGCTAAATGGCAAAAGGAAAGCCGTATATAAATGTGTGTGTGTGATGCTATTAACGCTAAATGGCAAAAGGAAAGATGGATATAAATGGAGAGACACTCATGTTCCTGGAGAGAAAGTCAATATCATAAAGATGACAATTCTCTTCAAATTGATCAACAGAATCAATACAAACTCTATATCCCAGCAAGTTATTTCCCAGAAATCAACAAAAATTGATAATAAAATTTACATGGAAATGCAAATAACCTAGAAGAGCCAAAACTATCTTATAACAGAACAAAGCATCACAATTTCACACCTCAATACAAAACTACTGTATAAAAGCAGTACTGGTATGGTATAAGGATAGATATATAAATCAATGGAACAGAAGTGACAGTCTAGACATAGCCCATACATACAAAGGTGTCAGAGCAATTTAGTGGGAAAAGTACAGTCTTCCTAATAAATGGCGTCTGAATAACTGGATATTCACAGGCAAAAATATGAACATTTTTAGGCCTCTACTTCACATCATACTCAAAAATTAACTCAAAATATATAGGTCATAGGACCGAAACTATAAAAATCTTATGATAAAACAAAGGAAAAATATTTATCACCTTAGATTAGACAAAAAAAATTTCTAATATAAAAAAATTGGCAAAATGAAAAACTGGCATAAGATTTGATCAAAATTAACATTTTCTGGCTTCAGAAAATCATATGAGAAGAGGAAAAGACAAACCACAGACTGAAAAGAAATACTAACAAGTTATATATATGATAAAGTATCTAGACTATACAAAGGACTCCTACAACTCAACAGGAACTCAAAGCAACATAATCTTTTAAAGGGTAAAAATCTGAACAGACATTTCACCAAAGACGATACAAGAGTGGTCAATAAGCACATGAAAAGGCACTCACTATAATTAGTCATTAGTCAAGTTAAAACCACAATGAGATCTCACTTTATACACACCAGAATGACTATAATAATAATAAGAAGAAAGACAGAATATCAAGTGTTGGCAAGAACGTGGAGAAACTGGAACCTCATATATGCTGATAAGAATGTAAAATGGCACAGCCACTTCGGGTAATAGTACGGTAACTTCTTTAAAAGTTAAACACAAATTTAGCACACAACTAAGACTCCATTCCTAGGTATATATCGAAGAGAAATGAAGTATGTCCACAAAAAGGCTTATATGCAAATGTTCACAGCAACATATTCACTATTTATAATAGTCCAAAGTGGAAGCAATTCGAATGCCCATCAAATGGTAAATGGACAAAGATAATGGGGTATCCACATAACTCCTCCCTCCTCAACTGGGTATCCTGCAATACAACTCTGATGCCAAGTACTTAAGAGTTAGCATCGGACACTACAAGCTAAGAGCCTAGTCTTTTACACGACTGCCCTCACTTCAGACATTAGCTGTACTTCTGTACCTTGAGAGTCCCCAGGCCACCAGCATTTCTGGTTAACTACAAATTCTGGAGTTTCCATGACTCACTCAGGTTCAATAATTCACTGGGTTAACTCACAGAATTCAGGAAAGCACCATACTTCTGACTACAGTTTTACTGTAAAGGATACACATAAGGTGAGGACTGGGAGGCAACAGAGCTTCTGCATCTTCTCCTTGTGTAATCAGGGTGAATCACCATCTCAGTATATCAATGTCTTTACCAACCAAGAAGCTCCATTGAGTGTCAATGTCTGCAGCTTTCATTAGGATTTCATTACATAGGTACAATTAATTATATCATTGGGCATGTGATTAAACTCAATTTCCAACCTCCTTCTAGTACTCCTAGCTTGAAAGGCTGAGAGTTCTAATTCTCTAATCATGTGCTCATTTCTTTCTAATGATCAGCCCCCATCTCATCCAGTCCAGTCAGTTCAGTCACTCAGTCGTGTCTGACTCTTTGCGACCCCATGGACTGCAGTACGCCAGGCTTCCCTGTCCATCACCAACTGCCAGAGCTTACTCAAACTCACATCCATTTCATCCAAAAGTTATCCAAATGCCAACAGGAGTTGCCTCATTAGCATAACACACAGGAAATTGAAGAGTTTTTGGAGCTCTGTGCTAAGAACAAGGAACAAAGACCAAATATACTCTTGATTAAACCACATATAATGTGCTATGCTACTCAGTACTAAAAAGAAATGAAGTACAAGACATGCTACAATGTTCATGAACTTCAAAATCAGTATGATAAGGGAAATGGACCAGATCCAAAAGACAGACAACATGTTGTATGATTCCATTTACCTGAAATGTCCAGGCAAGGCAAATCTACAGAGATAGGAAGCATACCTGTGGTTGCCTGGGGCTGGAGGGGAATGGGAAATGACTTTAGGTATAAGTGATCATTTGGGGATGATGAAGCTGTTCTAAAACTCAGATTTCAGTGATGCGTGTGGCCTGTGACCTGTACTACTGGTAACCAAGTGGGGGATTATTTGTCTTTGTAGAAGTATTCTACTCAAGAAGAAATAACTCAATTGGAATATTACTATTTTGGAATCTTTAAAAAATTAACAATCTCAACACAGCACAGACATCTTGTAAAATAACAAGAGTAAGAGATAGCCAGACATCAGCCTCCTGAAAGAATAAAACATTACCCATGAAGCTGTCCTGCCACACTCCCCATTACACCTGATTGTGATCACGCCTTTATATTTAATCACCAACTAACAAAAACAGAAATGAGAGGAACATGTTAAGACTACACCACAGGATGAAATCAGTAAAAACCAGGTTTCTTCACCAAGTCGCACAAGAGAAAAAAAGCTAAAAGTAAAGTGTTTAGGAATATACGTCATACTTGGATGTATGAAACTATAAAGGAAAGCAGTAAGTGTTTACAATAATAGAAAGGACACTAGAAAGCACCCAAAGAACACAGCAAACTTGATATATAGGTGGATTAAAAAAGAAAAAGTTCTCTCAGCAAAAATATTATTTTTAATGTATAATATTCACCTATTAAATTTAAATTACACTAAGAATACAGCTCTAAAAAATACAGATAGGTCAAAGATTTATATTGTACCATAATCTATATTAAAAAAGTTAAAAGGATATAGGAACAAATTATGGGGGCCTTCATACAATTAAGCACTTAATAACCATTTAAAAAAAGGGGGGCTAGTATTTGGAATACTGCTTGCAATAATCAACTGAAATTGATTATAGGCTTATTTATGACCCATTATTTTCACTGCAAGGTAGATAGATCCCTAACAGAAATGTGTAAACATATGTGACAAAAATTCATATGAAAGAAATATGAGCACAAAATATTTATAATAGCCAAAAGGCAGAAACAACCCAGGTATCCATGAAATGAAGTGCAAAAATGTGGTGGATCCATACAACAGAATATTATTCATCCATAGTAAAAAGAATCAAGTGCTGATACAAGCTGCAACATGAATGCATGTTGAAAATATTATACTAAATAAAAAAAGATGTCACAAAATACCATATACTGTATGATCACATTTTTACAAAATGTTCACAATAGAGAAATCCACAACACAGAAAGCAGATGAGTGGTTGCCACTGGGCAGGAAAGACTCGGAGTAACTGCTAACTGGTTCAAGGTTTCTTTTTGTGATAAAAGTGTTCTATAATTAGGTAGCAGTGATGACTGACTACACAACTCCATAAATATACTCAAAATTACTGAAAACTAACTAACTAAATAGAAACAAGTCAGTTATTTTGATAAGTTTTCCCAAAAGTCACACATTTCATACATATAAATATGATGGTACACGAAATGTGCTTTACCAGAGATAAACAAATGATAACCAGGATTATAATCTATTATTCTTTCAACTGTGCAATGTTTCACTATTAGATATGCTTCCAAAAATTCATTAACCATCTCAGTAGACAGTTTTTACATGTCTACCCTGCAGAATTAAAGATCAAAGATATAAATTAACAAAATTAAACTAGAACTGGCAATTAATCTGTTACTATGAAAGCAATTGAAAGCTAAAAGTGGATTAATACTTTGTTACCATCACTTCTTAATCAAGTAGATTACCATGATATATAATTTGCTACAAAAAATTTAGTATTAACTATACATATTGGAAATTTCTAGCTACTGGCTACATTTAAAAAATAAAATGAGGTGGAAGGGTGAAGCTCAACATCACACAAAAAAAGCAATGGTAATGAGCTTTTAAAAAATATGGTCATCAGTGAAGCAAATCTTTTATCTCCAAATAGCCTTCCACAAACATGGTATCAAACCTGTGGATCATTTAAGTGTACTGAACATGCTCTGATATATATCTAAGTTTACTCATGATATCTGACCAAAAATGTCTGCAGAATTAGCTATTAGCACACACACAAAAAAATTAGAAAACCAAAGCTAGTGAGGAATATAACTGAAAAAAAGGCAAAATAAACTTACTTCACAGTCAAATAAAAGGCTAAATTAGGAATCCCAATACTGTCTTACTCTATAGGTAACACATAAAGGAATGAAAGAGAATTTTCAAAAATTTTAATGTAGAATTTTTTCTCCTTTTCAAGATAAACTAATTATTGTTCTTATCATACAACCATACAAATCATGAGAAAGAGTAAGTGGGGGGACAATAGCATACTGGTAACTCAATTCTTTAAAAAGGAATTGAAAAAGAGAAAGTTGCAAGTAATACTTATTTCTGTACAATTTACGTCATACCTATCATGTCTAAATGACATGCTACTTTAGAAGATTAAACAAGTGTAATGAATCAGATCATATTAAAAATAACTGCACTGTCATGTGAATGAGATATAGGAATGCAAAATCAATTCTAATAACAAGCACTTATAAAAAAGGGAAATAAACATATAAAAAGTTAGTCTGCTTACCTGAACCACCCAGGGACTGTTGGCAAAGGCCATAATATCTCTCTCCTCCCAGAAAAAAGCAGAATCTGATCTTTTTATCATTTCAAACTTACTAAGAAGCTTCATAGCGTAAACTTTCTGTGATGCCTTATGACGAACCTGTTGATTTTTAAAATACAAGAATTAATATTTTAATTTTATGAGAAAATGGTGAACAATAGATCATACTATAATGCTATTCTTCAAGATTTAGTTACAAAAAAAAATGATCCTTAGATAACAAAATGTAAAAACATAACATTTTTAATGAGGAGAAAATTCCCAACAGCCTAAATTTTTCATGAAATATTCAATACCTTTAAATGCTAAACTCACTATAAAACTACCTCATTTCATCTAAATAAACTGAATTCATGAAGCTTCATTCCTTCATGTTAAGCCAACCAATTTAAAGAATAAGACGTTGTTAAGTGAAAAAATTGTAAGATATGTACATGTATCCATCATGTTTTGAACATAAGAACCTAGTAAATTTAGATACCAAGGGTCATTTGTGATTTTGTTAAGTCATCCTTACTTCTTTTGGGGTATCTTATTTATTTATTTATTTTCCCAAAGCGTCTGACAATCCATCCTAGATGGATTTTTTATTTCCAAAGACAAACCACTGATGTTGCAACTTGTAGACAAAACTTTTGTGAAGAATTTCAAAGTACACTTTGCATTAAGGAATGTAGGCATCCCTCTTTCATCTCACAAAAATAAATCTTGAAAATATTCATCAAATTCTTCTTCCTGTGATTTTTCATCTGTCTCTGGTAGTGGGCCCTTCCAAAGTTCAGACTCTGAAGCACTTTATTCCTCATCAGAGTTTCTGTTGACAGAACTTTCTGATTTCACTGAGGATGAATGCACTTTATCCTTTTTCTTAGAGATCTCTTTTACAGAAGATAATCTGGATATTTTATGTGTTGACTCTTCAGAATCTTTTTTGGCTTTATCCTTTCTTTTTTTTTTGACTTATTTTCTCCTGTGATGAAAACTTAATTTAAAGGAACATTCTTGGCATAATCTTAATTTAACAAGTGCATTTCTTTTTTTCCCATGCTCAGTATAACCAAAATTAACTTCCCAACTCTTTAAGCCTTCTTTTTCATCACAACATTTATTTCCACAGCAAAACTGGCCTTTTCCTGAAATTACTTCTTTTTCTATTTGCCATCTAAATCCAAACTTATTTTCTTTGTATCTGCCGAGATCTGCTATGCAGTATTCCTTGAATAATTTATCATAGTATTTCTTTGCAAGTCTCTTCTCCCAATTCATGTCCATTTCATCCTCCTCATTCCATAGGAATCTATGATTTTCTCGTATAACATCGATGTCTGTCTTGTCATTTTCCCCCAATCGTCTGAAGTCTTCTTTTTTGCTACCATAATATAAAATATAGTCATTTACAAACTTTGTATGCCTTTGATAAGCATCCATAGCTATGAGATGAAACCTTCTATTTCTTGCTTCTTCCCTATCCAGCAATTCTGCTGCAACTTGTTTATGAACCACCTTAAAAATATGGAACGCTTCACGAATTTGCGTGTCATCCTTGCGCAGGGGCCATGCTAATCTTCTCTGTATCGTTCCAATTTTAGTATATGTGCTGCTGAAGCAAGCACTGGGTATCTTATTTAAAAGGTTATTTTAAAAAAAAAAAACAGGGGAGAGCCACCAATAATATGGTTATTGATCAGTTCTTACCTTTTTCATTAGACTGCTAATTCCATAAGGGCAAGGACAACGTCTATTTTGACCATCATTTTAATCCTAGAATATAACATAGCAAACTCTACCACAGAACCAATAAATATTTATTGAATGTTTGTAATAGCTGACATCTATTGGATAACCAATAATAAACAGTAAACTGCTAACATTTACACTTAAATTATCTAATAGGATGTCCAAAACTGAATTCCACATCTTCACCCCTCCATTTATTCCTCCTATAGTTTCTATTTCAGTAAATGGCATATTCATTCTCCTAACTGCTCTGGCTAAAAGCCTCTGGCTCCTCTTTTTCTATGAGAAAAAGCTCATAAAGCTCATCAGCAAATCACATCAGTCCTACCTTCAAACAGTCTCAGAAACCAACTATTTCTAACTATCTCCACTAATACCACTCTGGTCTGACAGTTTTTGCAGGAATACCTTGTTTTACTGCACTTTGATTTACTGTACTTTGTATATATTACATTATTTTTTTTTTTTTACAAACTGAAGGTTTGTGGCAACACTGTTGAGCAAATCTGCTGGTGCCATTTTTCCAATAGCATTTGCTCAGTTCATGTCTGTGTGTCACATTTTGGTAATTCTCACAATATTTCAGACTTTCTCATTGTTATGGGGTGCCATAAACCATGCTCATACAAGACAGTAAACTTAATAAATGCTGTGTGTGTTCAGACTGTTCCACTGACCTACTATTCCCCTCTTTCCCTCACGCTGGGCCTCCTTATTCTCTGAGACAACAACAATATTGAAATTAAGCCTACAATGGCTTGTGGATGCTCAGGTGAAGGGAAGAGTTGTGCATCTCTCATTTTCAAGCAAAAGCTAGAAATGATTAGGCTCAGTAAGACAGGCATGATGAAAGCTGAGGCAGGTTGAAAGCTAGGCCTCCTGCACCAGTGAGCCAAGCTGTAAATGCAAAGAAAAAGTTCTTGAAGGAGACTAAAAGTGCTACTCCAATGAACACATAAATGATAAGAAAGCAAAACAGCCTTATTGTTAATATGAATGAAGTTTTGGTGGTCTGAATAGAAGATCAAACCAGCAACAACATTCCCATAAACCAAAGCCTAATCCAGAGCAAGGCTCTAACTGTCTTCAGTTGTGAAGGCTGAGAGAGATAAGGAAGCTATAGAAGAGATGTCTGAAGACAGCAGAAGTTGGCTACCCATGAGCTTTCCTCATAGTATCAAAGAGCAGGGTGACACAGCAAGTGCTAATGTAGGAGCTGCTGCAAGTTATCCAAAGGATCTAGCTGAGACAACCATTCCAAAAATTCCAGAGCCTGTAAGAATTATGTCAAATTTACTGATGGTGCTCTATAAATGGAACAACAAAATCTAGATGTCAGCATATCTGTTGACAACATGGTTTACTGAATATTTTAAGCCCACTGGTGACATCTATGCTCAAAGAAAAAGATTCCTTTCAAATTATTACTGTTCATTAACAATGTACCCGGTTCACCTGAGAGCTCTGATGGAGATGTACGATGATACTAATGTTCTTTTCATGTGTGCTAACACAACATCCATTCTGCAGCCCATGGATCAAAGAGTTATTTCAACTTTCAAGTCTTACTATTTAAGAAAAACATTTTGTAAGGCTATACCCTGCCATAGATGGTGATTCAGCTGATGCATCCAGGCAAAGTCAACTAAAAACCTGGAAAGCATTCACCACTCTAGATGCCATGAAGAACATTTGTGATTCATGGGAAGAGGTCAAAATATCAACACTAACAGGAGTTCAGAAGAAGTTAATTCCAACTCTCACTCCTGACTTTGAGGAGTTCAAGACTCAGTGAGGAAGTAACTACAGATGTGGTGGAAATAATCTCATTGTTCTCTACCTGAGAACTCAATTTGTTTTCTTCTAAGAAGACATTTAACTGGCAATTTTTGTTTCCTTGTATTGTCTGAGTCCCATATTAGAATGTAAGCTCAACAAAGGTAGGGATTATTCAAAGAGGAAATAGCAAAGGTATACCACAGAGCAACTGCTATGCAGCTGACAACAAAACTGAGACACCAGATGTTAAACTGTATTTCCAGCCAAAAGAAAAAGAGTGAAAAAACCCTGATGGTTTCCTGGGAATCCAGGCAAGACATCTTAGGAGAAAGAACCATGCTCTAAAGCAAAGCCTACTCTAGCACCACCTAACAAAGTTCTATAATACCAAACCCTAAAAGATCAAAAAGAGTAGAGTTTGGAGGTACAGTCCTTAAAAGGACTTGGGAACAACTTGGTCTTTAAACACATCCACATTCATAAAGTAGAAAACGAAGGCTCCAAAGTTAAAAGGTTATCAACAAGTAACTGGACAGCTTATTAAAATGAAAACCAACCAATTCAAAGACAAATAAAATCCAGAGTCTCTATAACATATCCAAAAGGACCAGTACATAATTTAAAAATTACCTGAGAGGTAAAAAGAAGAATGTGACTCATCATCAAGAAAAAAGCAGTCAATAGAAAACAGCCCCAAAAGACATTGGATTTATCTAACACATTAAATATCTCTTTCAAATCTGCTCCAAAGCCTAGAAGAAAGTACGTTAAAGGAAAAAAGGAAAAAATAGTTTCAATGAATGAACAGAAGGAAAAACCAACAGAAAAATGAAAACTATTTTAAAAAAACCAATTGGAAACTCTATAACTGAACAATAACTAAAATGGAAAATTCTTTGGATGGGCTTAACAGAGACTGGAGATAAAAGGACATTCAGTATCTGAGGGAGGTTCAAGAGGGAGGGATAGCCTATGGTTGATTCATGTTGATATATGGCAGGAACCAACAATATGGTAAAGCAATTGTCCTCCCATTAAAAATAGACAAATTTAAAAAAAAATAACATTTAGTAAACTTAAACACAAATCAATCTGAAGAATAAAGAGAAAAATGAATAAATGAAAATGTATACAGACTTAGCGGAGAAGGCAATGGCAACCCACCCCAGTACTGTTGCCTGGAAAATCCCATGGATGGAAGAACCTTGTAGTCTGCAGTCCATGGGGTGGCTAGGAGTCGGACACGACTAAGTGACTTCATTTTCACTTTTCACTTTCATTCATTGGAGAAGGAAATGGCAACCCACTCCAGTATTCTTGCCTGGAGAATCCCAGGGATGGGGGAACCTGGTGGGCTGCCATCTATGGGGTTGCACAGAGTCACACACAACTGAAGAGACTTAGCAGCAGCAGCAGCAGCATACAGACTTAGGGGGCTATGAGACAATTTTAAAGTCTAAAGTATGTGCAAATATAAATGGGCTAAACATACAATTCATAGGCAGAAATTATCAATTAATTAAAAAGCAGTGTTGGTGGTACAGTGGTGAGCATAGTTGGCTTCCAGAATTAATTAAATAGCA